TTGCCTCAGTTTCCTTATCTGTAAAATGAGCCAGAAAAGGAAATGGCAAACCACTCCAGTATCTTTGCCAAAAAACAAAACAAAACAACCCCAAACCCCAAATGGGGTCATGGAGTCATACACTACTGAAAAACGACTGAACAACATTATTATCCCCATTTCATAGATGGGACAACAGAAACTGAGAAAGGCTAAGTGACTCACCGACAGCTAGTCAGTGTCTGAGACATAATTTGAACTCCTCTGTCCTGGCTCTACCATCCACTACACCTAGCTGCCCCAGGCAGTTGCATATTGAATCACCTCAGGCATTGATGGAAGAACCAACCACCCCTGGAATTCCCAAAGCTGGTTTCTTCCTCAAACTTTCTCATTATATGCATAAAAGGATGTTGGATTCAGAGCAGGAATGCACTTTGGAGTTTACCTGGTTCAAACCCTGCATTTCCCAGATGAAGAATGGAATCCCAAAGAGGTTAAGTCACTTGCCCAGGGTCCTACAGCCAGTATGGGTCTAAGGCAGGATTTGAACCCCGGTCTGCCTGACATCCTCATTGCTCAGCGGTCCAATAATATCACATAGATGTAAAGGTATAAAAGACAGAGGAGGACAGGGACTGTTTCTGTTTCCAACAGTACCATGCATGTTTAATTGCTTAATGACTGTTCCTGGGCAGTTGTTTTTTTTGGGGGAGGGTTGTTATTATTGTTGAGTTGAATATTATCACTGTGTAACATATCTCACGAATTCATTGAAGGGGAGAGCAGGAGGAAGGAATCTTGAACCCCATGGAGTCCCTGGGTGTCCACCACGTGGACCCCAGAGCCGTGTGCAGCCCTCTGCGATTTTTAGCAGACTCTCTCCCTTCACTTCCCCAATAATGTTCCTCCTCCAGCCCCTTCTGACTAGGATTTTTTCTTACTTTATTCACACGTTCCCCTTTCTCCCCCCTCCCCACAATCTACACAGCTGAGGAAGGAAGAAAATAAGCATTTATTAAGTGCCTACTAGGGCAGCTAGGTGGCACAGTGGATAGTGGGCCTGGAGTCAGGAAGACCTGAGTTCAAATTCAGCCTCAGATATATACTAGCTGTGTGACCCTGGGCAAGTCACTTTACCCCCTTTGCCTCAGTTTCCTACACTATCAAATGGTCTGGAGACAGAAATAGCAAACCACTTCAGTATCTTTGCCAAGAAAACCCCAAATAGGGTGACAAAGAGTTAGACACAACAGAACAATAACCAAGTGCCTACTATGTGCCAGGCACTATGGTAATACTTTACAATTATCTCATTTAATCCTCACAACAATCCTGGGAGGTGGGCACTGTTGTTATACCTATTTTATAGCTAAGTAAACTGAGGCAAACAGAAGTTAAGTGACTTGCCCAGGATCACACAGCCTGAACTCTACCCACTGTGCCATCTGGCCAAATACAGTTTCTTTCACTGTTAAGTTTTGCTGCCCATTCAATAATAATAATAATAATAGATGACAACTTTATAAGACTTTAAAGTTTGCAATACACTCTATGTATATTACCTTATTTTAACCTTACCGCAATCCTGTGAGGTATATACTATTATTCCCATTTTATAGATGAGGAAACTGAGATTAAGAGGTTAAGTTACCAGGGTGGAAAGGTGAGGGGTGGGGAGAGGGGTCCACGTAGCTAGTAAGTGTTGTCAGAGGCCTGAGTTCAACTTTGTCACTCTTCTTTACTTCTTCATGACAGTCAGGTCCATGATAAACAAGCATTTGCAAAACACCGTCATTAATGTAGGAAATTCTAAAGCTATAGAAAAAAGGCTGCCAGCGATGCCTGCTAAATTGGGAAGGGCATGATTTGCCAGCATATCTGACGTCCCATCTCTATTTGTGTGACATACTAGTACCATTCTGCTCAGACAATGGCCATCTCTACTTTAATAAATACTTGAGAAAAAAAAAAACCCAAACCTGTCCTCCAGAATAGGTCATTTTTATTAATTAAGTGTTTCCTAATTCATCATGGACTTGATTTGACATAATATACTAGAGAGTGCCAGACTGGACTCATGGAAGCCTGGGTTCGAATCCTGCTTCTGAGACCCTGAATAACTGGGTCTTAATTCCCTCCTCAGTAAAATGGGGATAGTAGTGCCTATATTACAGAATTGTTGTCACACCTCAAAGAAGTAACTTTTAAAAAGCCTCCTTGCTTAAATTAAAAAGCAAAATTGAAATTAAAAATTAAAAAGCCAAACCAGTAAGCCAAAATAAAATTATATAAGCTAAAGCAATTTCTTTTTTTTTTTTTTTTTTTTTTGCTGTCTTCTCCAGGCCACTGATTGACAATCTTTCATTAAAAGCTTACTTCAATTCATGGCACCAAGGTGACATTTGGTTTTTTAAAAAAAGGTTTATTGATGACTTTTGTTTTCATGCCATAGTCACTTCCTGATACGTCTCATCTCTTGTATCCTCCCTCTTCCCCATCATTGACACTATTGGCTCTGTCAGACAAGTGACAACTTTCACCTGGCCTACCAAACTGGAAATAATAACTCACATTTGTATAGCTTTGTCTTCATTATGAAGAGAACCTTGTAATGCAAGCGGTGCAAATGTTATTAGCCTCCCTTTACAGAGAAGGAAACTTGAAAGAACAGGAGGCCTCTCTTCTCCTCTTATTCCAAACCCGTCCAAAAAGCAGTAACGGTAGCATTGTAAAATAACTGAATATTAAGTTGACCTAAGTTAACCAGGAATGGCACACTGGCGGGGCCCTAGACCTTTGCACAGGAATGAGGAAGAAAGGAGGATGGGACAAGCACAAGGCATTCTGAGAACTGTGATGACCTACCAGTTGTATGTGTGTATAGCGGAGTTGAATGCAGACTAGCTCATGGGCTGCATGAGAATGAGACGCTGGGGCCCAGCCGACTGGGAGGCTCAGTGTCAGGAGTACTTTATCTTCTGCTACACTCTGCCTCAAGAGGGGAGGAGAGGAAAGGTCACGGAGAGGTTGCTCAGCAGTCTCAAGGTCGAACTGAGTTCACGGTTACCCAGCTGACAGAACATCTCAGGCCTCAACTCTCCCCTTCTCCCCCCAATGCAGTGAAATACAATCCTTGTCCTTTATTAACTTACCTCCTGATGAAAACCAAGATAAATTGCCTAATAATGGCTCTCCATTAAAAAGAAATTAGGAATTTTGCCAATGGTAAAGGGAAAAGGCTTGAAATGTTGTGACGAGCCCATCTTATTCCTTCCTTATAATAGGATGACTTTTGAGAAAAGACAGTCAGTCTCTGGCATGAGTTTTGGAAAGTAGAAAACTTTCAAGCAAAAAAAGGCGCGGATATAGAAAAGGAAGGAACAAATTGGGATGATTGTTAACTTGATCTCATCAGAACAAAAGGAATGGATTGCTTCCATTTTTTATTGATCATCCATTAAATTTTATTACTCAGATGCTCACGTGTCTTTCATCATCCCTTTCCCACTAACTGCATCCTAAACCAGGACTTCATTAGCTCATACTTGGATTATTGTAATAGCCTCTTAACTAGGCTCTTCCTTCCATCCTACACATAACAATTATCTTCCTGAAATAGCACTTTCATCAGGTCACTCTCCTACTCGAAAATTTTTAACTCTATGACATTGCTTACAGCATCAAATCCAGATTCCTTCTGGCATTCAAGGCTATGCCCGGTATGGCCCCAACTTACCTTTCCATCTCCAGTAAAACTGGTCCACTTGCTCTTCAGTTGTTGTTCAGTTATTTTCAATTGTGTCTGATTCTTCATGACCCCCTTTGGGGTTTTCTAGGCAAAGATACTGGGGTGATTTGCCGTTTCCTTCTCTAGTTGATTTTACAGATGAGGAAACTGAGGCAAACAGGGTTAAGTGACTTGCCCAGGGTCACAGAGCTAGTGTCTGAGGCTAGATTTGAACTCAAGTCTTCCTGACTCCAGGCCCAGTTCTCTATGTTTATGCATCATCTGTTCAGCCCTACCAGAGCCAGCCCCAATACCATCTCCTTCATGAAGCCTTTGCTGATATCCACAGCTATCAGGGGCTCCTTTAGCGACTGACTACCACTTATTTGAGATTTACATCATTGTTATTTTTTTATTGTGCATATGTGTAATTCTCCCAGCTAGACGCTAAATTCCTGCAGATCAGGCACCGGGCCTGACACCTTTTTGCTTCCTCCATCGTACCATGTTTTTAGCTCAGTGCCTGGCACACTGTAGCACCAACAGTAAATTCTTATTAATGGTGACGATGAGGAGGAGCATGAGGAGTATTATATGAATTTGGTGTTGAAGCCAATATGATTAATTTCCCATCATTACAGAGAAGACAAGAAAGGTTAAGGAGCAAGCAGTGCTCCTGGGCCTGATGAAGGATGCAGGACTCAATTAATTCTTATATTACTTTACATATGGAGCCTTGCTAAGTTTAGAGATCTCAACTTTACAATAACTGTAAAAAACAGTGCAATTAAATATTCCCCTGAGTGACAAACAAAATACAGAATTTTAAAAAATCAATCAATTTAATCACATTTCCAGATTCGGTGAAAGATACAAAGGCAGACATGCACAAATACAGATTCAATAAACAAAGGTGAATGGAATAGGGAGGGATGGCTGGCAGCCTAGCTTGACATATGCAACTTTTACTTCTCTGCAGAACTATAACTAGTAGTTTTTGCACCTGGGGCAAAGTGTGCCCTCTTTTGAGCAGGGAAGGGGGTAGTTGGAGAGCTCACCCCACCCCACTAATTGGTAGGTTTCTGTTTGAACTATTTCTATTCCTGCCAGTGAGTTTGCTTACTTCTGTAGTTTTTCTAACAATGAGTGTTAAGTGCTGTGCGTAATTCCTCTAAATTCAGTGATTGCCCTGAAGTTCTGAATGTTCTCCCCCCCCTTTTTTTTTAAGGCAACTAGGGTTAAGTGACTTGCCCAGGGTCATACAGCTAGTAAGTATCAAGTGTTTGGTCTGAGGCCGGATTTGAACTCAGGTTCATCTTGACTTCGGGGCTGGTGCTTTATCCACTGCACCACCTAGCTGCCCCAACCCACCCTAGTTCTATGCCTGCCTCCTTCAGGTTCATGGCACTGGCCTCCAGGCAAAAGAATTTCCAGCAGTGGCTACTTCTAAGTTTCCAACTATAGTAAACTAAGGCTAAGCTGAAAAGATGATCATAAGAGCATCACTTTGGTATGCTTAGGCCCTCAGGTTTTGTTAGGGATGGACAAAATAGTAAGTCAGGCATAAATTAATACCAGTAACTCAGAGGGAGAGAAGGAGGAAATGAAGGAGGTTTTGTTCAAAAGTACAAAGACCTGTGTGAGTCCAGATCACGTACTTAGCTTTTAGACCGCAGAACAGTACTTGGAAAGGGACTCAAGGCCAGGGGCCTGCTGGTAAATGTTTAACAACAGGGCTGGGGGTAGCGTGTGGAGAGGTGTAGACACTCACACTTTTAATCCGCATTATTAACACTTTCTTAAGTCTAGACAATCAACAAAACAATAATTAAGCCCTGACTGGAGCGAATGCCAATCTCCGGGCATAAATTCTCACGCTGAAAATTTAACAATCTCTCACAAGCTGGTTAGAGCTGGCTCCAACATATTCCTGGATATGTGTGTGTGGAACAGGTAGAGCCGTGACAGGCAATCCCCAAGACACCCAGAAAAGATGAACGCTCACTTAGGATCCCCCAAGAGGCTGCGCTAACCCAGAAGGCAGCCAAGCCTCTCCCACTGTGGAGGCGCTCATCCTTGGGAGTACTTTCCCAGGGCACAGACAGGATCAGCTCGAAAACTTGTGGCCTGGCACCGGGGAAGTTCTGCTTGGCATGGCCTCTGTCACGAGGGTGTTTCAGCTCTCCTGCCCAGGCCCAAAGTGTAACCGCCGGGGCCCACGACGGCAGGGGGATGTGAGCTCCCTGTCCAGATGGCACTCTTGGCTCAGGCGATCACCCTCACACCAGGGATCGGAAAAGCCCTGGAGAGAGGCACCCCTCAGCAGATCACTTGGCTAAGTCCATCCAAGCGGCACCAGACGTTCAGATCTGTGTCTGCTCCCCGCTGCTGGGGTCTTCATCCTCAGAATGTAACCACGTCCAGTCCAGGGTCTGGAAGCCAACACAGGCGTGTTACCAAGACAGCAACCAGCAACAGACCTAATTTTCCTCTAGCAGGAAAACAGTTCAATTTCAGCAGTAAAAGTAAGTCATCTTATTATTATATATATTCTGGTTATATGCTTTGGATGCTGTATCTCCAAATTAAAAACCTTACCTAACTTCTTCATTTTGAATTAGCCAATTTGTGGTTCATTCATTTTGGTTGTGACTGACTGTGACCCCATTTGGAGTTGTGTTGGCAAAGATACTTGAGTGATTTGCCATTTCCTTCTCTAGCTCATTTTACAGATGAAGAAACTGAGGCAAATAGGGTCAAGTGCCCAGGGTCACGCAGGTAGTGAGTATCTGAGGCAGGATTCGAACTCAGGAAGATGAGTCTTCCTGACTGCAGGTCCTGGAGCTCTGTGCACTACGGACCCACCTCGCTGCCCCTGTATTAGGGAAGAGGTCTTCAGTAATCTTAAGATTTGATTATGATGAAAGCTGGAGGGTCAATTTTAGTGTTACTGTTTTTAGCACAGAGCACTTATCTATGCTTACTGGAGAAAAGAAAGTGCTACTTAGGGTACCATTGGCTATGTGAAGCCTTGGAAATAGTTATAAGAGAAGCCTAAAAATGCGTGTGTCCTGAAGAAAATGTTTGAGTGGCAGTTCTGGAGTCACAGGACCCCGGTTCCAGGCCTGTCTCTGCCACAAAGTCACCTACCTCTCTGGGCCTCAGTTTCCTTGCCTGTAAAATGAGGGGGGCTGGATGAGAAGCTCTCCAAGGTCCCCGTCCAGCTCTGCATCTGCAATCCTATGACCCCGTGTGTCCTGCACATGTGCCCCCCACTTTAAATTCACACTTGTTACTCATCGTGAAGGTGACAAGGCTCTACGTTTTATGGTCTCCTTTGTTTCTGCTCTTCCGAAATGTGGGATCTGACTTAGAGGACTGGCATGTCAATGTTTTCTTGACAAATGGGCTAATTCTAGAGTTGAATGTGTGTATGGACACTGAGGTCTGTTCCCCTTCCTCCATAATTGCCAAACTCTGGAAAACTTGTCTTCAGAAGGCACAAAAGTCACTGGTATGGTGCCCCACACCCATTAATCAATCCATTCTCCATTGTTGGAGAACAATATTCTCCACAATATTGTTATTATTATTAATTCTAATAATAACAACAGTAGTATAAATATCATGAATATAGAGAAGTAAGCAGCTGGTGGTACAGGGGATAGAGTACCTGGCCTGGAGTCACAAAGACCTGAGTTCAAATGCAGCCCTAAAGACTTAGTAGCTGTGTGACCCTGGGCAAGTCACTTAACTTCTATTTGCCTCAGTTTTCTCATCTGTAAAATGTGGATAATGTAGCACCTACCTCCCAGAGATGTTGTGAAGATTGAATGAAATAGTAATTGTAAAGCACCTGGCACATAGTGAACACAACATAAATGTTTGCTATAATTATTATTACTACAGAGAACTCTGGAAAGACTTACATAAATAAAGTTCATGTAAAAAAAAAAGTTCAAGTAAAGTAAGCAGAGCCAAGAAAACAACATATACAATTACAACAATGTTAATAGAAAGATCAACTATTACAGAATCATCAAAAATGAATTACAAAAAACAATGTAGTATTTATTATATAGGTTTTCTCTCAAATTTATTTTTTTACATTGAATCCTCTCTTATGTTCTGCTGTGTACATGGAGATGTTCTTTTTTTTTTCTTGTTTTGTATTTACACTTAAAATGAATAAAAAATTTACAAAAAAAAAGGAAAATGAATTACAAAATTATAAAGAATAAGGTGTGGCCTAAAGAAAAAGTATAAGAGGACACCTCCCCTGAGTTCTTTGCAGAAGTGGGGAAGGGTTAAAAAAAATTTTTAAAAAAAGTGGGGAAGGGAAGGGAGATCTATGGGGGTGGAATACCACACATGTTGTCAGATTTTTTTTTTCATGTATTGCTTTATTTTGTTGATTTTACCCTCCTCCTTTCTCTTTTTCTTTAAAAAAAAAATTCTTATATGGGATGGCTCTCTGGGAGGGGGGAGAGGAAAAGATACAGAGGGATATTTAGGTGATATTTAAACAAAAGGCATGAATACACATTAAAAAAAACATAGTAGAGGCAGCTACGTGGCGCACTGGAGTCAGGATCTGAGTTCAAATTTGACAGACACTTGAGTGAAGCTGTGTGACCCTGGGCAAGTCACTTAACCCCAATTGCCTCACCAAAAAAACAAAACAAAACAACAAAAAACAAATAAACAAAAAAACCAAAAACAGTGGTGGTGGTGGTGGTGGCGGCGGAGGTGGCTACTCTGTCTAAAGTTCTTTGAGAAGATTTTCTAAAGATGCTGAAATAATTCTTGAATGAAATGAAAAGGAAGTCCCCCAAAGGTTGTAAAAAGGCACCTGAAATATTTCATTTACTCTCGTGCTTAGTCACTATGTCAGTTTTGCTTAATTGTTTTTAATTTGTTACATGGGAAGACTCATGGGGGTGAGGTTGGGTGAGTAGGGGGAGGAGACTTTTTGGAAATGATGGCAATGTAAAATAAAAAAAATCCAAAAGCTTCCTTCCCTTAAACTCCAATGATTCTCTGAATGATTAGTGTACATGACGTCTAATGAAAAGTTTTTCAAAGGTCAGAAGTTAATCCAAACGTGGAAACACTGCATTTAGAATGGGCTAAATCTTCACGCGCTGCGTTTGGAAAACCATTCGAGTCCTTCAAATCTAGGTAGTCATGCATGTCTGTGTAAATACTTTGTAGCCACAAGAATGAGGAACAGTTAGCTAGCTGGTCTGTAGACACCCATGTTTAAATTAAAAAGGGAGACAACAGAATGGAGAAACACTCATGAGTAATCCCAGCCAAGCTGACCTCAAGCCAAGTCTTCACATGTGTCTAAGTAGGGTCCAGAATCCCTACTTAGCAACAATCTCTAACCCTAAAAGGGTGATCTGTATGAAGGAAACTTTCCGCGCCAACCACTGCATCCTGAGAATTCCAAATGTCTGGGGACAGGGGAGCCATGAGGGACAGCTGGGGATACTTACACTTGTGGTATGCTTTTTTCCCCTAAAGTGTCATTATTTGACAGACATTTCTTACATTATCAAGGTCTCAAATATTTAGAGACTACTAACTTCTCCCTATATTTTCTAATAAAGTCTTTGTAATGAAAAATTAAAAAAAAAAAAGGGAGACAGCTAGGATGGTCCACTGCTCTGAGACTAAACAATCTGTACTTGTCATGGAAAGAAAAAAGATGCTTGATGAAACGTGACGTAAGAAGCAAAGCAGCAGCCATGACCACGAGGATAATGGCTTCAGAGTTCAGAGGGACCTCAGAGGCTGCCTAGAACAATCCGATAATTTTAGAGATGAGGAAACTGAGGCCAAGAGAGCTCAAATGACTTGTTACAACTCACATGAGGCGTAAGTGACAGAGTTATCAGTTAGGATCTGTTAAATTGTACTCTCCTCATGGGCAAGGGCTGTCCTTGGAGTCTTTTTGTATTCCCAGCGCTTTTCACTGTGCTTGGCACTTAGTAAGTGGTTAATAAATGTTTAATGATTGACACAAGGAATTGGAAAACAGAGTGGAAAAGGCTCTTACTGCCACAATATATGCTCTCTGCCTCAGGAAAGTGTCCTCCACAACATTAACCCCTAGCAAAAGGGGCTTCAATTTGGATGGGGGCCCAGAGGGAGTAACTGAAAAACTGTCATATGTTATGTACTGAAATTAATTTAAATGCAAGTAATTACTAAGCAAATTTATGTGGTTGTACTGATGTTCAGTGTTAAGTTTTTAAGTTAAGATATTATTTTAAAAGAAAAGAAAACAAGGTAGGGGTGGGGTGGGGTGGGGGCTTTGAGTTCTCTAAGACACTGTGATACTTATGGAACTGTGGGGAAAAAAAACACCGGTGCCCAGAGAGAGGCTGCAAAGAAAAAAAAAGCGCTTACACCATGTCTATCAAAGGAATAATTCTCTCCAAAGCCACTTTGCATGATGATGATGGTAACGATGATTTTTAAAGGAATGCATTTCCTAGGTGTGGAGGCACATGGCTATTGTCCCCCCTGCTGAGGAAGACAAGGTGGACCGATCACTTGAAACTTGGGAGTTCTGAATTCCAGTAGAGCTAAAGCTGATTGGCTGTCCACACAGTCTAGCAACAATATGGTCAGCCCCTAAGAGGGACGGGCCACCAGGCTGCCTAAGGAGGGCCAAGCTAGGTCAGTTCAGAAAAACAGAGTAAGGTTGAAGCTTTCTGATGCCTATCAGGAGTGGTCGCTGTACTTCTAGTCTGGGCAAGGGAGGGAGGCTCAGCCTCAAAAAAAAAAAAAAAAAAAAAAAAAAAATAGGGTCATGTATCATCAATTCCTTGATTAATTTCCCTTTAAAAAAAAAAGAAAGAAAACAGGACACAACACTTTAACCTGTTGTTGCTCTATGGACTAGTCACTTGCATGGTGATAAAGTGTGTGCCTATGAGACATGATACTGTAGATGAGTCTAGCACTTGGTAGGAATTTGAGAGTAAGTTTCTGCATATATGGGCATTTGGAATATTGTTCTCCATCATCAACAAGGCACTGCTGAGTATTAAGGCAGACCTTCTCCTGAGTGTGATTTCCTTGTACTTTGGAAACATTCAATAATTGCCTTTCCTTCTAGAAATAAGTCTGATCATGGACACGACGCATTTAGCACGGTCAGAATCTCCACACTGCATTTGGAAAAGACCCCCAACGGGTTAGTTAGGCACGTCAGTGTAGAAAACTTTGAAATGCAAGTACAGAGGTAACTCTTAACTATATGATCCTCTAACTGTACGTTTTCCTTTTAGCAAACCCCAATCCTAACATCAATTCCTGAGCAATCCTCTTGGCACGTCTACTTTGCCCTTCCAAGATGCTGTTTGATTTCTCTCTCTGCTATGTGGTCTTTCAAAATATAAATACAAATATTTATAATCTGTCCAGGTCTCTCCAAAGGGACCCCTTTGCTCTGCAGTGCTAGGTTGTCTAGGGGCAAAAAAATGGACATCTTTGCCCAAAATACTGTTCATAATTACATGTGGGCTTTTTAATGCTATGTCTATTTTTCCGGTCTAGTGACAGAGATTCACTATTTTTTTTCTACATGGTTAAAAAACCCCACAAAACTGAAATCTGCACAGCTCAACAAACCTAATTATAGCCATTGGGTTCTTATTACAGCAGAAACAAATGTCTCATCTGCTTTCAGGAAAAAAAGAAAAAAGAAAGAAAAAACAAAAAAATTTTCCTCATTGCTTTTGTATGATGAACATATGTTCTATTACCATCTTTCTTGTGGATTCAATAATTTCCCTTTAAAATAATGACAATGTATTATAGAATTGAGAGCTGGAAGGGACTTGAGTAATAAGAGGGACAGTAATACAGACTGGGCTGAGGGTTCTGTTGATGGGAAAACTCTGGGATAAGGAAATGAAGCCAATGCGAGTCAGTGCCTTCTCTCTGCAATGTCATGGTCCTCCAGAGTTGCCAAAAGCATTGAGAAGTTCAGCAGTTTGTCTGTGGTCACATGGCCAATGTCAGGGGTGGGATTTGAACCCAGGACTTTCTGGCTTTGGCTACTTCAGCAAACTGCCCCAAGAATATTAATAACTGACATTTACAGAGCATTTTAAGGATTGCAAAGTGTTTTAAATAAATTATCTCATTTGATTATCACAATAATCCTAAGAAGTAAGTGCTTTACAGGCATTATTATCACCTACAGGTACTGGTGACCATCAAGCCCAACGTTTTCATTTTACAGATGAGAAAACTGAGGCTCAGAAAGGTAATGCAATTTACTCAAGGTCACACAGCTAAGAAGTAGAAGAGCCAGAATTCAAACCCAGTGATTCTGACTTCAAACCCAATCAGAGCTCTTACTACTACACAATATCCTATTCAGTCAAATATGAAAATAGAACAATAAATAATATGTTGTTTGTAGTGTTGGGGAAAGAGAGGTAAAGCTAGAGAGAGCAAAGTCCTGGGTTCAAATCCTACCCTCACATTGCCTATGTAGCCATAGGCAAGTCACTTAAACTCCATGATTCTCAGTTTCCTCATCTGTAATATGGAGATAATACCTGCTGTGCCTATTTCATATCATTGTGAGGATCAAATGAAATACAGCAGTGGTTCCTAAACTTTAGGGTCTTAGGATTCCTTTAAACTTTTAAAAATTATAGAGGACCCAACAAGTTTTTGTTTATATGGGTTTATATATTTGTTTACATATCCAGTGGTGTGCTGGTAAATGTTTTAACAACAGCTCTCCACTGCCCTCAGCCCCCCATATATCCATGACACCTTTTAACCTTTAATTTGAATTATTAACATTTTTTACATCACTTTCCTAAATCTAGATAATCAACAAATCAATAATTAAAACCTTGATCTGTAGCATCTGCCAATTTCTAAGATGTAATTGCTAACACTGAAAATTTAACACTCAGCTCTTGTGGACCACTATGAGCTGGTGCTATCATACCCCTGGTTATATTTATCAATGGTTACTAGATTAGAAATTAAAACACCATTATGTTTTAATGTTTTCATTATGTATTATTAAGAAAATTATTTTGACCTTACAAATCCCTGAAATGGCTTTAGGCACTCCCACTACACTTTGAGAACTGCTGAAATAAAGTAGATAAAATGCTTTATAATTGTCAAAGTGCTATGTAAATGCATATTATTATTATTGTTGTCATTGTTATTATCATTATTGCTATGGTTACTGATATTACCACTAGCACCAGCAGCTTATGTCACCATAACATTTACAACAGTATAAAAGGGAACTCTTGAGTACCTGGGAATTTTAAGAATTCAGTTGTTTTTGTCAGGGAGTACCAATGTCTATGGGGCAGTTGGATGATGCAGTGGATAGAATGCCAGATCTGAAATCAGGAAAGCTCATCTTCCTGAATTCAAATCTGGCCTCAGACACTTACTAGCTGTGCGCCCCTGGACAATCACTTAACCCTGTTTGCCTCAGTTTCCTCATCTGTAAAATGACCTGGAGAAGGAAATGGTAAACCACTCCAGTATCTGCCAAAGAAAACCCCAAAAAGGTGTCACAAAGAGTCAGACACGACTGAAAATGACTAAGCAATATCAAGGTCTCTGAAGATCCTCTAGGAGGATCTGAATCCCCTTCCCCAGTATGGACTGCTAATATTCTCACAAGTCCACTGTATTGGAGCTGGAGTCAGCAAGGTCTGGCTTCTAATCCTGCTTCTGCCATACTTAACTAGCTGTGTGATCAAGAGCAAGACATTTACCCTCTCTGAAACTCAGTTCCCTTACTTATAAGATGGGGATAATAATAATACCTATAATACCTCCCATGGAGAATTGCTGTGAGGCTCAAGTGAGATAATATATACAAAGAGCTCTACAAACTTTGTAGCACTATGTAAATGTCCACCACCGCCATCATCATCATTGTTACTATTATTATTTGGGGGATGAGCAATGTACCATGAATCCTTTCATACATCCAAGGGCAATTTTCCAAGTTTAAACCCACCAATGAAAATGGGGGTTCACAGGTCCTCCTCCTTTAGAGACATTTCTGCAGGGACAACAGAAACTCTGACCTGTGGATATGGACTCCAACCAGGGCTGCCCATTCCGTCAGTTCTTCTGCAGCACACTCTAGGCTTCCAACTTTGGACTGAGGCTATGGAGTGAAACCCAGCAGCACGGGCTGGGTGACACCTGGGTCTTTGGGTCGGTTTGTAACCAGGTTCCTATGATTTATCCCAAAGGACTGACCTTACCATCATTGCTTGCAGTCTTGCTTGTGGCTAGGTAGGCACAGTTTTATCAAACCTGCTCAAAAAGCAATTTTTTCCTCAGACTCCCCAAATTGGAGTTTTACTGTCAGGGATAGAAAAAAACCACACTTCCCCTTTTCTACCAATGTTTCTGGGGGGCTGACTTGTTGACTGGTGTAGTATAATGGATAAAGATCTGGCCTTGCAGCAAAGAAGACTTGTCTCTAACACAGATGGCTACTTACTAGCTGTGTGACCCCGGGCAAGTCATTTATATTTTTAGGGCCCAAGGCAGCTGTCTAAGCTACAGAGCAAGTATTGATCTGCGTTGGTAAAAGGAGTTCCCTCACTGGGAATTCCCCAAACCAAAAGTACTATATAAATATTTATTATTATTATTATTATTTTTATATCATAGGTCTGCTCCAAAAGAAAAAAATAGTAATAATAAGAGCCCAACAGGACAGGAGACCTGGAGTCAGGAAGACCCGAGTTCAAATCTGACCTCAGACACTCACTAGCTGTGTTACCCTGGGCAAGTCACTTAACCTTATTTGTCTCAGTTTTCTTGTCTATAAAATGAGCTTGAGAAGGAAATAGCAAGCCACTCCAGTATCTTTGCCAAGAAAACCCCAGATGAGATCATGAAGAGTTGGACACAACTGAAACATAACATAACATATAATTATAACATTTATGTAAACATAAACAACATACAGCATTTTAACATTCAAAAAGCACAGGATGTACATTATCTCACTTGTTCCACATAAGGACCCTGTAAGGTAAATACTGTTATCCTAGTTTTACAGTTAAAGGAAGTGAGGTTCAAAGAGGTTATTAAATGATTTGCCTAGGGTCATAAAGCTTTTAAGTGTCTGAGTACTGCTAGATTTTTTTCCTCCTTTTTTAGGGGGGGGGGAGAAGAAAGCAGAAGCAATAAAATTCGAAAACACTGTTACCATAAAACTCTGATCCTGCTTTTTCATGGTGTCCTCCATTACACTTTGTAACTGGGTGCAGAGGGCCTGTGTTTCCATTACCAATTCTTCACTAAATAAAATAAAGAGGTTGTTAGAAAACTGACCGAATTAAAACATTAATAACAGAATTTACTGTTCAAAACATACTGAAATGTTCGACCCTGTCTAAAAATGTGCTAGAACAGTCTTTCACCAGAGACAGATGAGAGCATTTAACGTGAACCCAAAATGCATTGCTAGGACATAACTGACAGGTACCTTTATTCTACTTGTTAAATATCCACAAAGTAAAAATTCAGACATGTTAAATATTTTAAAAGATAAGGAGCTAGATCCCTAGCTAATTTAAAAGTTAAAAGAATCTTTTTGACATTTAACTAGCAAAACTTTTGCTAAAGTTCAGTTTCCATAGCAATAATGGGTTATCAGTTGAAACTTTAAATCTCTATTTTAAGATATGCTAGGGGTAGGGGAAAGGGGCATAAAAGCCCACACTGGCCCAATAGATAAGTGGTTGAAGGGTTGAAGAAATTTAAATGAACGATAATAATATGAAAAAAATGCTGCAAATCACTAATAATAAGAGAAAATGCAAATGAAAACAACTGAGATTTCACTTGGTACTCATCAAATTGGCAAATATGACAAAATACAAAAATAGTCAATGTTGGATAGGGTTTCTATAAATACAAGCACACTAATACACCTGTGAGTTGGTCCTACCATTATGGAAAACAATTTGGAATTATGCCAGAAAATTGACTAAATTGTTTATACCTTTTGGCTCAGTGATACTACTACTGGTATATACCCAAAGAAGGTTATAGACAGACAGGAAGGTACTATATATACAAAAATATTTATAACTGCACCTTTTTTTTCATACCAAAAAGTGGAAAATCAAGACCTCTAGAATCCTTTCCAACTCTTAATCTATTTTTCTTTTGTATCCCTAGCAGTAAGCCAAGTTCCTTGCATATAGTATACATCTAATATATGCCTATTGAATTAAGATGATCAAACCAATTCATGAAGTTATCTACCCGGTGTGGACAAGTTAGGTTGGTTACAGGGGAACCCACATTGGTTAAATCAAAGATCTTTTAAGTATTACAGTTAATCAATGAAATTTAGTCCCATACTTGCCAAAATTTAAGGAGAATTATAAAAAAAAAACTTTCTGTCTAATCTATATGTTTCAAAAGAGGACATAAGTCAACTATTCCAGGTTTTGATAATTGCTTGTGATTTAGTGGAAAGCAAATTTTGGAAAAATTATTTCTATTAGATTCTATTTGCCTTAGAATGTCAAATATGACAGAGACATTAGGTGTTTATCTGGTCCAGGGATGGGGAACCCTCTAGGTCCTCAAGTGTGGCCCTTTTCAGTCAAAGGGCCTCACTTGAGGACCTAGGGGGCCACATGTGGCCTTACGGCCGCAGGTTCCCCACCTCTGACCTAGTCCAACCCTATTTTCAGATAGGGAAATTGACATCCCATGAAGTTAAGTGAATTATTCAGGGATCATGGCTGCCTAGTGAATGAACTTGAATCTGGGTCTTTCGACTTCCAGGACAGTATACCATACTGTGTCCTTGAGTTCAGTCTTTGTGTTATAAAGGGACACAAGATTCTATTGGAGAAGTGCCACAAAGAGAAAGGAAAGAACAAAATAATGCCAAACTTCCTCCCAGCTGGCCCCAGATGTACACATTGTTGTCCAGAGTCACTTTTCTGGGATTTTGAAAGATGGTCATAGTATAACAGATTTAAAGCTACAAGGGGCCTTTGATTAACCAACTGTCAAGCATTTATTATTTTATGTCAGGTGCATCTATTCCTACTTCCTTACTTTACAAATCAGATGTTAAGTGACTTGCCTAAGGTCATACAGGCAATAAGGGACACACTAGGGAGTTAGACCTGGTCAGATAAATGACATTAAGTTAAAATCATCACCTGTTGAAAAATTCACAGTCTGATGGAACAGACAAATAATGTCTAATAGTCAAAGAGATTTTTCCAACTTAACCAAAGCTTTACATGACTTGCTTAATAATTTATTTGTATCCATTAGTCAATAAACTTTTAAGTCCCTAACACATGTATGTCCTGTGGTGGGTACTATAGGGGACAGAAAGAGGTAAAGTGTAACATCTTGCACACGATTCACTTAATTTTTAAAAAAAATTTATTATCAGTACAATAAAACCTTTTTTGCTCTCCCTAAAATAGCATTAGTTTTTAAGGTAAATAATGTGATAATATAATGCTCATTGACCTGGATCTTGTGGCAGCCATGAAAGAGCCTTGGCCTTGAGGCCGAGGTCAAAATAGAGAGTCCCAGCTTCATCACTTATTGGTTGTGTAATCTTGGACAAATCACTCAAACATGATCCTCAGCTTCTTCATCTATAGAATGGAAATTATGAAACATGCCCTATTTTTTTTTTGGCTAAGCAATGGGGTTAAGTGACTTGCCCAGGGTCACACAGCTAGTAAGTATTATGTGTAAACATGCCCTATTTTATAGGGCGGTTGTTTAGAGTCATTTTTTACAGGTATTTGGAGGGGTTTGCGGGGAGAGCTCAAGCAAGTCACTGCTTTTACTCTGCCATCTCCAAAGGGTGGCTGTGAGGATCAAATGAGAAAATACAGGTGAAATTCAATTTAACAAATGTATATTAAGCACCTGCTAATAGCAAGCATTTACACAAGGTATCCCCAAAAAATCATTTTAAGCTACTAAAACTTAAATCCATTAAAACTTAAAACTACACCGAGATTTTTGGAACATCCTGCACAGGGTTTTAAAGTTTGCAAAGCACGTTACATAAGTTATCTCATCTTATCCTCACAACAATACAGGGAGGTATCCCCATTTTACACATGAGGAAACTGAGGCAGACAGAGGTTAAGTGCTTGCCAGGGTCACACAGCTAGTAAGTTGTCTGAGGCTGGATTTGAATTCAGGTTTTCCAGACTCCAGGTCCAGTGATCTATTCACTGCAACAACAATCTTTACAAAGGCAGGCAGGTGAGAAATGGGATACCAAATTCCCAAAACAGCAAATAGATGAGTTTGATTAGAAAACAGAACACACGGAGAATCATATGTAAGTGCTTTGTAATTGCAAAGTACTATATGAATGCAAGTTATGATGATGATGGTTGTTTTTATTAATAATCAGTAATCATCTTGCCTCAAACCAGTTCCCTCCACATTCCACCAAGAATATACTCTTTTGAACATGTTTTTGGGGGGCTAGGCAATGGGGTTAAGTGACTTGCCCAGGGTCATATAGCTAGTGAGTGTTATGTATCTGAGGCCAGATTTGAACTCAGGTCTTCCTGACTCCAAGGCCAGCGCTCTACCCACTGTACCATCTACCTGCCCCCTGGATACTTTTTTTAATTGATGTATTTTGTTTTGTTTTTGTGAGGCAATCTGGGGTAAGTGACTTGTCCAAGGTCACACAGCTAGTAATTGTGAAGTGTCTGAGGGCAAATTTGAACTCAGGTTCTCCTGACTCCAAGGCCAGAGCTTTATCCACTGCACCACCTAGCTGCCCCAAGAATATACTCTTTCCATAACCATGATGATGATGACATAATTGTCATCACTGACTTCATGGAGTTTAAATTTAGCTGGGGATATACCGTGTAAATTTAAAAATAACAAGAATCAAGCCGCATGTGATAAGTGTTAAATGAGAAAAGGTATAGGTCCTGAGAGAGAGAGAGAGAGAGAGAGAGCGCATTCTGGGTTAGGATGATGTCTGGAAAGGTGTCACGGAGGAAGTGGGACTTAGTGCCCTGAGTTTGGAAGGTTGCATAGCATTCAGAAAAGACAGAGTAGGCATTTCCAGGTGGGGAGGATACCAGCATACCAGGTGGGGAGGTGAAACAAAGTTTCAGAGGTAGAATGCCTTCTGCACATTTTGGGGCAATGGGTAGCATAAATAAACACGAAAGCAACAGAATATAGTGGAAAGGGCCCAGGGCTTGGAGCCGGCCACCTAAGGTTGAATTTGGGCTGTCACAGGAACTCCTTCAGTGATGTTAGGCAAATCCCTTGGACTTGGTTTCCTCACCTATAAAATAAGAGAGATGGACCAGATGGGTCCCTAAAGTTCCTTCCAACTCTAAATAACTATGATTCCATGAAAATGTTAATAGAAGGTGGAGTTGGGAAGAGAGGGAGGCTGGAGCCAGATTATAGAATGCTTTGAATGTCAGAACTTTGCCCTGCATCAAAGGGGCCTTTGAGAAAGATTATTCTGTGGTTGCACATATATAACCTATTATCAAATTGCTTACCATCTTAGGAAAGGGGGAAAGGAAGGAGGAAGGGAGAAAATTTGGAACACAAAATTTTAGAAAAAAATGAAGGTTAAAAATTGTCTTTTCATGATATTGGAAAAAAATAAAATACTATTTTTACAAAAAGATTATTTTGAGACTGGTATGCAGAATCAATAGGAAAGGCAATAGCCCCAGTAACAACAGTTAACATTTATGTGGCTCTTTAAGGTTTACTAAGCAGTTTGGCATTATTATTTCATTTGATCTTCACAATAACCCTGGGAGCTAGCTAGATGCTATCATTATCCTCATTTTACAGATGAGAAACTGGGGCTGAGAGATGTTAAGTAACTTCCCCAGGGTTACTCAGCTAGTTAGAATCTAAGGCAGGGTTTGAACTTAGGACTTCCTGATTCCAAATTGAACACTACCCAATATGCCACCTAACTGACTCTAGAACCATGCAGGAGGTTATTACAGTACTCTGGATATGAAGTGGTAAGGATCTCGACTGAGATGGTGACAGTGAGGATAAAAAAGGAAGGTGTGAAAGCAAGAGACATTACGGTGACTGATGGGACGCAGGGAAAGAGGGAATTCAAAGAAGACTCCCATATGTTATTCCCAAGTGAGCTGAGGATATCAGTAGTACTGAGAGAAGTTGTAGGGAGCTAGTTTTAGGGGAAGTGGGAAGGAAGATGACTGATTATTAATCATTCAATCAATGAGTATTTATTGAGAGCCATCCATGCGTCCGTGCTATGGAGGAAAGAGATGGAAGCCAAGATGGGGTTTGTGACTTCAAGTAACTTGCACTCAAGTTGAGAGATACAAAACTGATATTATATCAATAATAAGCCTAAGTTCCTACTCTCAAGGCTTCCCCGAGCCCACCTGGATGCAACACGTGGTAGCACAGAATCTCAGAGTTGGAAGGAAGCCCAGAGGCTGTCTAATGCAACCCATACCTGAACAAGAATCCCCCTTAGTGTCCCCAGCATGGGCTGTCCTAGGTGGCCAACTTACCTTTTCTTGATTGACTCAGGTAAGCTGTAGGGAGCTGCGGGAGGCTGAGATAACAACTGGGAAGGATTGCTAAGACGAGATGCATTCATGCTATCTGGACTCCCACTCACCGGACCTCGTACCTTACTCTGAAGATCAACATGAACAACAAAAAAATTAACAGAAAACGTTGGGGTAAAGAGCAGAATGAAATGATCACCTTTCCCCCATCCCAGAAGAAAAGTCACTAATTATTCTTTTGGAAAAGATGTCAGACGTGTTGATTCTTCACCACACCAGTTTGGATTTCTGCCCAGACAGCGTTTATGTGACAAAATTTCAAAGATTGGGTTCCAAAGACATCAAATCTTTTGCAACTTTCTCCTGGGCATTATTTCATCAATCCTAATCCTTATCTTATCAATGCAAGGTAAGAAAGGGTAGGTGTTTTTCCACTTGCCAAAGGGGAATCTTGAGGAACAAAGAGGAGCGATTTGCCCGAGTGGTAGAGCAGGGAAAGTAAAATATTCATTCTCAGAGAAAGGGCCATGGTCACACAACCTCCCATCCTCAAGTTCTGAACTAACAACTACTTTCAGATCTAAAAAATACACACACACACACACACTCATATAATTAAGATCACCTTCCAGCTGTTTCTTTGAATTAGAATTGAATATTCAGACCCACTTTTGGAATAATGGTAAAAAATATTTGCAGGACCACATATATATTACATGTAGCTGACATTCTTGAGTACTGTCTTATTTTGTCTTGGAATTCTAACCCTAAAGTCTGCTTGTGTTAGGGTAATCAGATATACACGCTTCCCAGATTCCCCCTCTAAATGTGTATTTCTCCTTCCATTACACTCCCCCATTCAGTCTCTTAATTAGTTAGGAGTTACTGTCATCGAGGAATTATTGATGTATGCTGTTATTCATAGCACTATGTCAGATACTTGTTGACTAAAGGATTGGCCTCAAGGTCTACTCCATTCCATTTTCTTGCTTAGAAAACACGTCTATGAGACTCATCAGGAGCTCTTACATCTGATGGTTCCTAACCCCTAAAGGAGAAGGATTCTGGTGATGAGGGACAATTCAAGTGAACCAAGGTTACATGATCCAAAGGGTAACTAGAGTGGTATGCAGGAATCAAGTCTAAGCTCTCCAGAGTAAATAAATCCATAGCATTAGGCCAGAGTCATAAAACAGAGCCCAGAAGAGCGGCCCAAAGCCAGGGATGGGAGTGGGTCACGTCGGGAAGAGTCCACACAGGGTACAGAGAGAACGGTACCAGGCACTGCCAAACAACAGGCTGTCCCACATAAGTCTCCAGCTGAGAGAGCATCCTTTAATAGAAATGGGGTGTTATTTATTTCCCCTCCTCATTCAGTTGGGTCTGTATTACGTAGGCTCAGACACGATATCTAGAGTATTTCCCTGGAACTTAAGGCTTTAACTTAGTAGCACAGTACTGAAGGAAGGCCTCTTTCAGCCCTCCCTGGGTCCAGGATCCTGCCAGTTTATTAGGTACCAGAGGCAATCCTATCACCTTCAGGTATGTATACTTCCTGTCTATCCGCAATCATGAATGGCTGTGTCATCTTCAAATCTGATAAACATTCTACCTATGCCTTTAATCTAAGTTAATAACAATAACAATAATGATAATAATGATAGTAATGTTAAATGGCATGAAGTCCAGCACAGATCCCTGGGGCATTCTACTGGGGAACTGTCAAGTTGACATCAATCCATCAGTGACTACTGTTTGGGTTCCAGTCATTGAACCAGGTCTGAATTCAACTCACCATATTACCATCATGTCTGAACATGTCTTTTCTACAAAAGTAGCCTGAGAAATATATCATCTGACATACTGTTCAAGGGTCCAATCCTACAGTCTTTGTATTCATCTCATCATGGGGTGATGTGTCATGGAAAGGTGAGCTTTTCCTTGGGGAGCCATTAATAGAGTAGTCCAGCAAAGACAGGTAGTCAGGAGATCCCAATAGAGGTCATGGAAAGAAGAGGCCATGAATGTGGAAAATGTCTTTCAGGAACAAGTGGACAGACTTGGCAGTGGCAGAGGTTCCAGCAGAGAGGACACTGCGCCGCCTTAATCGAGGTATATTCCACCATAATGGGGTTGTAACTCTGAGATGGGGGCAGGTCTATGACAGAGACTAGTGTTATTGTCCTTCAGGGACAGAAGGGAGTTAGCAAGGGCTGTAGCAATTCTGCTAGCTTCCCCAAAGACTTCTTGGCCTGGTCACCTCCCACACAGGGCTGGTCATATCGGTAGATCTCATACCACGGGCAACATTATGCAAGGTTTTGAACAGGCCCATGTGGCCTGGCACTAGGATGTCATAGCAGCAGCAGAGACTTGCCCATCTAATTTCACATGAGGAGCCAGGGGAATGTATAGGCATGAACAGAAGTACAAAAGACCAGCTGAGACTGACTTTCCTTTGGGCACAGGGATCGCGTCAACTAAAGAGCATAGATAGCTGAACCTGGATAGAAGCATCTTGTGTCTGATGCTGGTATATCAGATATAGTCAGTCCAGTCAAGAATGAGTAGCAGCAAGGTCGTGGTCTACAGGAGGGCCTGTTAGTATGGCTGATCCACTATGTACCCAGATTCTGATTTTTCTGATGGTCCATATGCTTCCTGGGTTTGATAGTACAGGACAATGGTGATGAGGAAGTTAAGTCTATTAAAAATAATGTCCAGCACTTATGACATTTGCTTAGTTAATAAGTAATCTGAAAAGGATTCGGGGTGTGGACAATGATGATGTACCAAACTCCTCAAGATGGTGATTCCATAACTCAAATATGGCTTTAACTGTGAGTACTTCCTTTTCCTGGGCAGTTAGGTAGAGAAAGTGCTGGACCTGAAGTCAGGAAGACTCATCTTCTTGAGTTCAAATCCAGCCTTAGACACTTACTAGCTATGTGACCCTAGGCAAGTCTGTTAACCCTGTTTGCCTCAGTTTCCTCATTTGTAAAATGACCTAGAGAAGGAAATGGCAAGCCATTCCAGTGGTCTTTGCCAAGAAAACCCCAAATGGGGTTTTAGTCAGACACGACTCAAAAATAACTGAGCAACAAAGTTCTTTCTCTCATATGGTAAAGTTCCTCTCCCCACTGCCCCTGACCTGTGGTGGACTTGTGAGAGAAGGATACACAAGGTCGGGACATGGGAGAGAAGGGCTCCCACTACAAGTACAGACACGTGGGTGTCTACAATGAAATTATTTATGAGCTTCCACTAGACCAAGGTAGGAGTTGAGGCAAGCCACTGTCTGAAGGAGATGAATGTACCTTCTGCCTCTGGTGCCCCATGGAATGTCTTGGGACATTTTGTCAGGTCTGCGAGTGTAGGAACCTGTGGATAAAGCAGTAGTAAAATTCTACAAAGCCAGGGAGACTCTTCAAATCTTCTGCTAATGTAGGGATTTCCCACTATAGCAGAATGGTGTTCCATGCATCACTTAACTAGATCCAGATCAGACTGTGTGTCCCCCCAGGGATCTGTGCTTTGCCGGATCTATGATCTCATCCACCTATGGTGTATTCCTTCCAACAATAAAGATTTCAGTCCATCCACACCCTCATATTCTGTGCAACTTGTAATTGTGTGCTCCCATAAATCCAGCATAGGGGATGCCCAACAATTACAAGGCAGAACTGACTTAGAGCAAGGGTAGACTGGTAGATACTTCCAGCTAGCTAAACCTTCTGAAATCTGATCGACCAGGGCAGGGGAATTCTACAAATTCTGGCTTAGGAGCTGCCATATTCTATCAACAGTTAGCACATGTATGGCTTTTTAAGGTTTGTAGAGTGCTTTACATATAAGCTCATTCAATCCTCACAACAACACTATAAGGTAGGTGCTATTATTATCTCCATTTTGCAGATGAGAAAACTGAGGCAGACAGAGGTTAAGTAATTTGCTCAGGATTCCATAGCTAGGAAGTATCTGAGGCAGGATTTGAACTCAGGTCTTCCTGACTCAAGATCCAGTACTTATGGTTCATTTCTTTGTCCTTGCCTGAGTTGGCAAATCCGGGATGGCAATTTTCATCAGATGGAGTGTCAAAAATCTCCTTGTATTCCTGGAGGGAATTATCCTGTATGAGTCTGTTTCATGTGAGGGAGGTAGTAAGCCAGCAGGAAACCGAGGCCTGCCAACTGGGAACGGCAAAGGTGATATGGCCCCAGGCTGGAATTCCTCAGGAAAAGAGGTTCAGCATTACCATCATCAACACCATTATCATGAATATAGTGCATTAAGGTTTAAAAAACAATTTCCTCACAGCAAACTTATGAGAAATGAAAAAAAAAATAGTTTAGCAGGGGTGCTTGATACCACCTGCTTTTATGTTTTTTTGTTTTTGTTTTTTTTTGTTTCTTGGTTAGGCAATGGGGTTAAGTGACTTGCCCAGGGTCACGCAGCTAGTAAGTGTTATGTGTCTGAGGCCGGATTTGAACTCAGGTCCTCCTGAATCTAGGGTCAGCGCTCTATCCACTGTGCCACCTAACCCTACCATCTGTTTTTAGAAGTAACAGCTGGAGTAGACCTCTACAAAAGTGATTATGTTTTAGGGAGCTCCCAGCACCATTCATTTGCTTCCAACCTGGCCTTGAAAATTAAGCCAGGCATGTTGAAGCATACCTGCAACCTCTGCTTCTGGGGAAGGTGAGGCTGGTGGATTTCTTGAGCTAGAGGGTACTGAGCTGTAGGGGGTTAAGTCAATCAAGTGTGTGCACTGTTTGGCATTAATATGGTGAACTCCAAAAGAGGTGCTAACTGGCCTATGTCAGAAAATGGAAGAGTGCAAAGCTGTGCTGATCAGAATGGGAATGGGCCAAGGGAGAGTCCCTGAACTTCCAGGCTAGGTGAGATAGGAAGACTTAGTCTTTTAAAGAGAAAAGAAAAGAAGGAAAGTAGGGAAGGAAGGAAGGAAGTGAAAAAACTAAGGGTTGTGGAACTGATGGTTTGAAGAGAAATCAGCAGCTCTGCAATTATCTGAGTCAGGACAATGAGGAAGGATAATATTTCAGGGTTTTGGGTTTTTTTTTTTTGGCATGGTAGAAAATTGGGACGAGGCTGATAGATGTAGGTAATTAAAGAGCAATGAACAGGTCTGGAGAAAGAGAGAACATGCCTGGCCCATAACTGACGCTTAATAAATACTTATTAAACGATTGACTGAATGAGGGTTTTTCAACTGAGCTAAGGGCCTCTTCTGGTAGCAATGGGACAGTTGTGTGACCTCCTTGTCAGCTTCATTGTTCTGATGTTCTGATGTGGGTCCAGACAGCACTTCCTACTGCTACTGTTAGCGCCATCACAATTAGAGCCCATACGAAGGCATCTGGTCATAAAACTGAGAGGAAGGCCAGTGAGGAGAATGATAGGAATCAAGCTGATATACATTAACAAAAAAAGCTCCTTCTGCTCTTCCCCACAGAGGGAGAATAATAGCCCGGGGATGGAAAGGATTTGACCATGTCTGCAACAAGTAAGCAGCAGTATGTATCACTTCGTGCAGAGAGGGCCGAGGATCATAGGATGGATGGATGCAATGAGCATTTATTAAACCCCTACTATATGCCAGGCATTATGCGAAGTGCTTTACAAATATCATCTCATTTGATCCCCACAACAACCCTGGGAGGTGGAATTTAGAAATTTAGGGCTGGAAGGAACCTCAGAAGCCATGTAGTTCAATGCCTCCATTTTATACATGAGGAAACCGAGACCTAGAGAGGCTGAGTGATTTGTCCAAGGTCACACAGCCAGTAAGAGACAGAAGCAGGGTTTGATTCCAGGGTCAGTACCAAGGTGGCTAATTAACCTCACTCACACAAGCTATCTTCAGCAGATTCCACAGTTCCTTTTGTCTTTTCTCCTGAAGCTGCACGACTGTCTTCTCATCTTCATTCATTAAGTTTACCACTTCTTCCACTTGAGGTAACAATTCCAGGGCCTTCTGCTTGCAAACCATAGTCTTACTGCAAGGAAAATGAAAGAACAATGCTAACGGCTTCATTAGTATAATTATTTTGGGATTACAGAAAAGAAGGTAAAGGGAAAACCACTAGTTATTTAGGGGTGGCCAATTGGACGTCTAATCAGCAACTGAAGTGTCTTTAAAGTACCTCACCTCACTTCCTCCTGGATTCTCTCCTGATTCCTTCTCTTTGCCTCCTGTATTGCTAGGCTGAGAAACCTCCACCCTGTGCCCTCCTTTCCTGATTGGTGACTTCGTTCCTGGGACCTTCATATTAGGAAGGAACAAGCCATGCCTCACTTCAATCAAACCGGGATGCCTTCCTGGACTTCTGCTTCTCCTGACCCCCACACTGCCCCGAGTGGGTGTTTCCTTTCCCCCCTGAATTTCAAGCTCTCCAGTTTGTGTTGTTTTCCTGCAGAGGAATGCGTCCTCCAGGATAGAGCGTGGCTGGCTTGTGTTTGTGTCTCCAGCACTTAGCACAGTGCCTGGCACAGAAGTGCTTAACATAAGCTTGATTGAACTCACTCACTTATTCACTTACTCATTCTGTCTTTCTGTTTGTCTGCCTATCTAGCTAATATCTATCCTTCCATCTATGTATCTATCTGTCCTTTGTGTTATCTATCTATCTATACCTTTTCCTTCTTGCCTTCCTATTATTTATGTGTCTTTCTATCTTTTAGCTATATATTATCTGTCTATCCTTTATCTCTTCCTGCCTTCCTATCTATTATCTCTTTCTATCTTGCCTTCCTATTATCTATCCATCCATCTATCTGTGCTTCATGTTATCTGTCATCTATCTATACCTTTCTGCTTTTCTATTATCTATCCATCCATCATCTATCTATCTTTCTACATATCTATTTATCCTTTCCTGCCTTTCTATTGTCTGTCCATCCATCTCTCTCTCCCTCCCTCTCTATCCATCTACTTATCTATCCCTATTGAGTTTCAGTTAGCTGAGTCCTCCTGGCATGCTGTATTGTACTCCGATGGGCAACCCCATGTTCCCTCCTCGTTGGCCCTGCTTCCTGGCCATCCCACCCTCTGCCCCATTCAAAGTGGCACAAGGTTATTAATACCTGAGCTGCATATAAATGGCTCGTACTTTCTTCTCGAAGCTCTGGATGGCCTGAAGGAGTAGCCGTACCATTTCCTGACTGTCGCCATCAGTTCGCTGGTCTAGAAAGAGGAGAGAATGAGACATTCTTCCAATGTGGCAAAACAAGACATCCTAGGATCTCACATCGTTAGCTGGAATGGAACCCAAATGAATCTTTAAAGCACTTTTTACCTCTTGGTTTTTCCCGTAATCGCCGATAAAGCTCTCTTGCTTGTTCTTCTCTGAAATATAAGAACAAAAAATTCTGCTCTTGATCCAAATTTCAAATCGTTTGAAAGAAAAACACAATTCATACTTGCTGATTAAACTTCCTCCAAACTTCCCTATTTTATTGACTTACATTAAGCTCTACTAAAATCTTCAGATCTTTTTCTGAACTGTTGTCTAGATATGCTTGTTTCATCTTGTACTTGTGACACTAGATTTTTATATTGCAGTATAAGAATTTACATCTATTCCTATTAAACTTCATTTGTGGGCTGAATGCTCTGCCTTGTCAACATCTTTTTCAAGTCTGAGCACTGGGCCTGGAGTCACGAAGACCTAGTTCAAATTCAGTCTCAGACACTTCCTAATTGTGTGACTTTGGGCAAGTCAATAACTTGTCTCTGCCTTAGTTTCTTCAACCTAGTTTCTTCTTGAGGATCAAATGAGATATTTGTAAAGCACTCAGCACAGTGTCTGGCACACAGTAGGCACTTTATAAATGCTTGCTTCCTTCCTTCCTGACTCTGTTATTCAGTGGGTTAACTATCCCTCTTTTAGCTTTGTGTCACTGGAAAATTTTTGATTAGTAAGCTATCTATGCCTTTATCTAAGTCACTAATAAAAATGTTAAACAGTATCACAGCCAAGCATAGATCCCTGGAGCACTCCACCAGAGCCCTCCTGCTAGGCTGACATCAAATTATTAATGAGTGACTACTCTTTGGATCTAGCCAATCAACCAATTCTGAATCCACCTGTCACCCACCTGTGTCCATCTTTTCCACAAGAAAGGCATGAGAGGCTTCATCAAATGCTTTGCTAAAATCCAGCTAAAACTCCCCTGCCCTGCTAGCTTAGCCTGGCACGACCTGTTCTTGATGGAGTCTTGCTTCTTCCCTTTCTAAATGTTCATGCACCATCCCTTTAATAATACATTCTAGAACCTTACCAGGAATTGAAGTTAAACTACTTTAATCCACTCTCTTCCTATTCTGGAAAATCAGGACAACCTTAGTGTTTCTCCATTCCTAGAGCTCCTCTCTCATTCTCTGGGATCATTCAGAGATCATTTATGGTGGCAATCACATGTATCCATTCTCTTAATTGCTCTAGGATGTAGTTCTTTGGGCCTGGTGACTTAAACTCTCTATGAGTTTTGTTTATCACCTCCCTATTATCTGAATGAATTGTGGCTATTATCTCCCTATTATTTGAATGAATTATGGTTATCACCTCTCCTCTTTTGCTTTACCCTGTCTAGTCCAAAGATCATTCTGCTTAGCTGAGAAAACAGAAACAAAAGACTTGAGTAATTCTGTTTTTTCATCATCACTGGTTATTATTATTCTTCCCCCTACCCCAAGCAGAGAGTCCTGTCTCTTCTCTGGTCCCTTCTTTCCTCTAATACAGCTAAAAAGACACTAACCCCTTTTTTGTCATTTTTTTTTGTCCAAATACCTTTTTCTAATCAAAGGGCCACTACCCTACTTTGGACCCTTGTTGCCTCCCACCTAAGGTACTGTTGTGGCTTCATAACTGGTCTCTCCTTTCTTTCTCCAATCTGACCTCCCCAGCACTGGTACAATGACCTTCCTAAGGTAAAGCAATGGGGCCTAGTGAAGGGATGTCAAACGTGGAGGCCAGCACTGAGGGTGGCCTGAACCAGATTAAATGAGATACTATTTGCAAAGCACTTAATAAACCTTAAAGCTCTACCTAAATGCTACCTATTATTGTTATGACCCTCCCTCCCATCTCCAGCTGGACAAAATTGCTCTTCACAGTTGACAGGCCAATACTTACAGATCATCCAAAGTTCCCCCTTGTTTCCGACTCATTGGGCTCCTCTGTAGGTCCACAATGTCCGTCTGCAGAGCCATCATCTGTTCCACCAGATGTTTCACATCTGTCTCCTGATAAAAATAGTGAGTGCTAAGGTGAATAGGAGCATGAGGGGCAACCTGAGGTACAGCACTGAAACCATCAAAACTGAGCAAAAAAAATGAAACTGATTATATCCTTGAACTGAGTGATACTGAGTGACTGGCTGGAGTCTCAGGATAGGAATAATTCTTAAGTTTTCTTAATCATTTTAGGTCCCAGAAATCTATTTCAAGATACGATGACTTCTTAGGGCAGCTAGGTGGTGCAGTAGATAGAGCTTTGGGCCCAGAGTCAGGAAGATGTGAGTTCAAATGTGACCTCAGGCACTTACTAGCTGTGCGACCCTAGGCAAGTCACTTAACCCTACTTGCCTCAGTTTCCTCATCTGGAGAAGAAAATGGTAAACCAGTATCTTTGTCATGAAGAGTTGGACACAGCTGAAACAAGTCAACAACAACATGACCTCTTAGGAGGCACTGACTCCTATAACCATGAATTATATATGTAGGTAGATGCCCTCAGAGTCGAGGCAGAGTATTCGCCCGCCTCTGAAGCTGCCATAGTGGTACCCAGGCCCTGCTACATCCTATCATTGTCATTCTGCAGATAAGGTGATTGAGGCAGGGAGGTCTGAACTTACTTGGCCAGGGTCACATAGAAAGTCAATAGAAAAGCTTGGAAAAGAAATCACAACCCTGAGTTTTCATTCATAGGTAGAAGCAGGGGTAGAGGGAAGAGAGCAAAGGAGTCAGAAGCCTGAGTTTCTGAGGCGTAGGTATCCCATGTTGGACAAAGTGCTTTTCTGGGCCCTCATCTATCAAATGGGGATGATAGGGGCAGCGAGGTGGCACAGTGGAAAGAGCACCGGCCTTGAATTTGGGAGGACCTGAGTTCAAATCCAGCCTCAGACACATAACACTTACTAGCTGCGTGACCCGGGCAAGTCACTTAACCCCATTACCTAGCCAAAAAAACCAAAATGAAACAAAAGAAAAAAAGTGAATGATAAATGTATTGTGTATCTCACAGGGCTGTTGTAAAAGAGCATTTTTGGGGTGTGGGTCATGATTTAATTTTTACTTTAATCAATACCTATTAAAAAAACAACAGTCATTTGCAGAGATAAACTACCCTCTCATTAAACCCTGATTTGTAAAAAATGAAAAAGAGCTAAGTATAACTGACCGACAAAGCAACCATGTTCAACAACGTATGCTGCATTTCACATCCCTGGTTCCCCACCTCTTTCTTGAGAGAAGGGATGTGCATTATTATATCCTTTATATTCCAGAACCAAGATCAATCCTTGCAATTAATCTGAACTGAAAAAGTGTTTTATAAAGTGTAAAGTGTTTTAGAAATAGACACTGCTATAGTGGCATGGTTTCCTGTTCAATCTCTCTTTGCCTTCAAAATTTACCTTTGTTAGTGACATAAATGACTGCTGAAGTGAACTGAATTGAGTCCTTGTGCCACTCACTCCCTTTGTTTTGGTTTTATCTTCCCATGGGAATTGGGCAGCTAGGTGGTACAGTGGGTAGAGTGCTGGACCTGGAGTCAGGAAGATCTGAGTTCAAATCCAACCTCAGGCACTTACTAGCTGTGTGACCCTAGAAAAGTCACTTAAGCTTTGTCTGCTTCTGTTTCCTCCACTGTAAAATGGGGTTGATAATAATAGCACCTCCCTCCCAGGGTTGCTGTGAGGATTAAATGAGAGAATAATTGTAAAGCGCTAAGCAGAGTGTCTGGTACATAGTAGGCACTATATAAATGTTAGCTATTATTATTATTGTTGTTAAAATGGGAATAATAATAGCACATACCTCCCAGGGTTGTTGTAAAGATTAAATGAGAGAATAATTATAAAGTGGTAAGCAGAGTGTCTGGCACATAGTAGGTCCTTTATAAATGTTAGCTATTATTCTTATTATCAAAATGGTTGCAGTAATAGCACCTATCCCACTGGGTTGTTGTGAAGAGCAAAGGAGATAATATTTGTGCTTGGCACACAGCAGATGGAATATTAGTAGGTGTTAACTATTATCATTATTATTATTAAGCAAAAGGTCTGTCTGTAGTTCTGGTTTATTAGCTTCCCCAAAGGGAAATCATAAACTGTACTTCTGCTATTTCCAACCCAGACATCCAAGTGCAGTGTAAATGCTACATCTGGCCACAGTGGGGCCCCCAAGGCCTGGGTATCCACATCCTCCCCAGCACTTCCCAGCCAAGGTCAAACGGCATGGCAATGAAAACTTGACATTCCCCGGACAATGCCTGCCCACACATCTGATGAGAAAGTGGAAAGTGGCCTTGAGAAGCCTCCTCCCTCTGGGTAAGCAATTAAGCCTAAAATTAGTGTTCCTACCCGCCCGCAGAGCTCCACGGCCTGCTCCATCTCTCGCCAGGCCAGCAGCAGTTTATCTGACGCTGGAAAAAGAATTGGAGAGAGACAACAAACTCAGTTTTCAGTTGAGAAATGAGGATGGGTTAAAAAAAAAAATGGAAGAGAGAGAGGAGCAAGGATGATCTCTCTGGTTGGCTCAGGGCAAAGAGCGACACTCACTGATCCCAAACTCAGTCTGCTCGCTGTATTTCTCCAGGTCAATCTGGATGCTGGTTTTAAAGAAATCCAGCTTAGCCTTCAGCTGCTGAGACATGGATGCCATTAAGTTCTTCATCTTGGAGAGGCTGCTGTTATTTCGAAGGAGGTTCATCCTGCAGCAGCCAGGAAGAAAAGGATATCAGCATCCCACCTGCCAGGCATCCCGGGTGCCAAACCCAAGCCCATCATTTCAGGTGTTTAGATAGATCATCATTTCTTACCAAGAACAACCAGGAAATTTCTTTTTCCTGAACCTCAGCAATGAGTGGGGCAGACCTGGCATGCAGATGGGACGGAGCAAGGTCTTTTGCCCCAAGGGTTAATCATTTAAATTAGCCACATTAAGATAAGGATGGGATGGAGAGGCAGAGAAAACTGCCTCCCTCCACCTCTTGGTACAGGTAGGGGGCTATGGGTGTGGACGCTGCATATATTGTCAGACCTGACTGATGTGCAGGTTAGTTTTATAAACTCTTTTTTTTTTATTCCTTGTTACAAAGGATGGATCTCTAGGGGTCAGAGAGGGATTTATTTGGAAATGAAGCATAGAAACAAAAGATAACAATACATTAAAAAAATTTACCCACAGGACATAACCAGTGAAAGAACAGATCGAAGGGGTTCCTCTGCCACAGTATACCATAGGATTTGGTGTACTAAATAGCACTGGTTTTGGAGTCAAAAGTCCTGGGTTCTAGTTCTGACTCTTTCACTAACTGCACGACCCAAGGCAAGTCACTTCACCTACTGTGAGGTCTACCCCACAGGGTGGATGTGGGGAGTCTTTTGTCAGAGAAATGTCAGTTATCAGCAGCATCGCCCCCAAGTGCTGATGATCCCTTGGGTCCTTCTCACACTCCACATTCTGCCCTGACTGTTCCACCCTCTTTTGTACGCTGACCACCCTCTTCTCATCCATTCTGCAGGGACTTTCCTCATTCTGACCCTGACACCATCCTTTCCTCATATATCCAAGCCACTGTCCCCCTCCTGGCTCCCGTCTGTCCTCTGGTAGGGGGCACCAGGATCTCCTAAGTGTGGGAAGAGAGGAGGGGAGGGGAGGGGCTCACATAGCAGCTCTCTGGCCTTGCTGCAGCTGGCTACAGTCTTCCTTCAGGGTCCGGATCGTGTGCCACACCTGACCCCACACTTTCCTCAGCTGGAAAAAAGGGAGATTCCTCTTGGGCTCTTGAACTGGAAACAGAGACACAAACAGTGGTCTAATAGCAAACCCTCCTCTGGACTCCCGGTCCCCACTGGCTCTCTACACCATACATGAGGCAAGCAATCAAACGCTTTTTGATGTTTTGGGGGTAACCGATGTTCAGCTTTGGTATTGTCAGTTAGCAGGCCACCTGCTTTGTCCTCATTTTCTCAACGAGACTGCACACTCCTTGAGGGTAGGGATGGTGTCATATACTTATTTGCATCATATATGTCTTTATTTAAAAAAAAAAAAAAGGAATTTGGAGTGTGTCTATTTGACCTCTATAGGTATTTATGGTGGGTCTATCCAGACCCCTGGGGAGGAGGGGGAGCAGAATGCCAATGATTAGGGGCAATTAAAAGATTAAAAGAGGGAGCATGCATGGAAAAGAGGGCATATGGTTAAGGCTGTAATTGGAAACAGTATTCTTCCTTGTCACCAAAAGGACCAATACAGAGGCAGCGAGGTAGCATGGTAGATAAGAGTGTTTGAACCTGGAGATGAGAAGATCCAGGTTCAAATCCTGCCTCAGGCACTTACTTAGCTATATAAACACTTAAGTACTCCCTGTCTCAGTTTCCCCATCTGTAAAATGAGGATAATGATAGCACCTATCTCACAGGGTTGTTAAAATTCAAACAAGATAACACATGTAAAGTAATTTGCAAACCTTTATGATAACTATATAAATATAAATAATTACATAAATGCTAGCTATTATATAGAATCCCCTGTTAGGCATTTAAAGCTCTTCACAACCTGGCCCCTTCTACCCTTCCAATCTCCTTACACTATTCTTCTCCATACATTTCACTAACTTGACACATTAACCATTTGCAGTTTCTTGAACATGATAACCCATCTACCACTGCCATGCTTTTGCACTGGCTGTGCCTTATGCCTAGAATGCTCTTTTTTCACCTCTGACTAACTTCCCTGACTTCCCCAAGAGTCAGATCAATTCCACCTTCTTCAGAAGACCTCTCCCGATTCCTTCCTCCCTCCTCTCCCCACTCCAGCTGCCACTGCCTTTCCCTCTCTCAGAGAATCTTCTACCCTCTCTTTATCTATCTTGAATACATCCAGTTACCCCTTCCACACTGCTACTTTGCTCATCGTGGTTTCAACATGTCATGGGTCAGCACAAGAAATTCAGTGGGAATTTTAGGGGAGTTTTGCTGAAGCCACAGATGACAATAAGATACTGTAAATACTTCATAAAAGAAAAAAAAAATGAGACTTCTCTAGTACAAATGGAGGGCCAAAAAAATTTATACAGATTTCCCAGATCACGTGGCTCACCTCTAACTCTTGAGATGTGGAAAGGATAACTGTAGTTATCTTCATGTTGTCTTCCCAATTAGACATTGAGCTCCTCAAGGGGAGGGACCCTGTTTGCCTTTCTTTGAATAATATATACTTGTTGACTGACTGACACAAGATGGAATTTAAGCTCCCTGGGGGCAGGGATGGTTTAGTGGGTTTTTTTTTTTTTTTTTTTTGGTCTTTTTATCACAGAGACACAAAGAGCACAAAGCAGGCACTTAACAAATGCTTGTTGATTGACTAATCAATCACCAAAGAGAGCACACAGATATTGTCACAGGCCCTCAATATTTGTTGATTTGACGCTGTTTTCAGAGAAAACTATAAGTGTACACACACACACACATACACACACACACACACACACTGTCTCTCTCTCCCCCCAATTTTTAAGCTTATCTGAAACTATAGGCCCTATAAATATAAAGTTTTTGCCTGCTTATAGGAGATGATTAAATGAGTCTGCAAGTACCCAAAAACAGGAGGAGGTGGGGATTTGGAGTACTTGTGTACTTCAAAGCTCTCTGGGTATTTGGGATGGATCCCATGCCTCTGGGGAGGAAGGTCAGGATGCTGATGAACCATCCAGGAGGGAGGGAACATGCATGGAGTTCAGGGGATCTGTGGTTTAAGCCCTGATTATAAAACTTCAACACTGAAAGGTCAAAACGAAAGAGGTCAGAGATGACCAGTAATGAGCCTGTTATGAGATGGTGTCCTGGGTCTAGAGCAACAGAGGGTCTCCTCACACAGTAAGGCACCCCAAAGGTGCTGTAGATGACAATTTATTTCAAACAAAGTCTGTGCATTCTCTTATGGTAGCAATGGCTTGGTCAGAGACCTCTCCGTTGCCAAGAGCCCGGACAAAATGCTCTGACCAGGTCACCACACGCTTTTGGAAGAACCCTATGAGTATTAATTCAGCAGCTTCTTTCAAGTCCTTTTTCTGAGATGGCAATCTCCTTACTGTTTTACTTAAAGACCACCCTCTTCCCATCCAAGAGCTAGTGGCTGACCCTGAGAATAACACAAACTAATTGTCCTGTTTTAAGGAAAATAACTAATGGTTTAGATTAAGAAACTGTTCTTACGGATACAGCTGACGCTTTCTGGTGGGGGCCTTGGGGAGATCTGAGTCTCATAGGTGATTTTTCTGTTGTCAAAGAGAAAAATGAGATCCATGTCCAATATTCGGTCATCATTTAGCTGCAAAGGGACAAGAACAAGATGAGATATTCTTGAATGAAATACCCCTTACCTTCATGTAATAAGGCTTACATGGCAGTAAGTTTTCTAATGACCACCTATGTGGCCTCTGGGCACTTCTGAAACTATAATCTTTATCCAACATATAGAATCTGTTTATCTTTCATGAAGCCTTTTCTTGATAACTCTGGCCTAAAACGATTCAGCTCTGTTCCAGATCTTTCGGCTTTTATTGTCTATACCATATGCCTTATTTATATCATAATATAGAGATCCCATGGAAAATCTAGGAGTAAGGAGATTTGGGCTTGAGTCCTGCTTACACCCCTAATCAACTATGACACCTTGGACAAGTAACTTCATCTTTAAAAAAAAAATTGTACCACCTGTCTCCTAAGATTAATGTATTTTACAAGTCTTAAAATGACCCACAAGAGTGAACTGTTATTACTACTATTATCTCAGTCTCTAATTATCTTTAGAGTTTAGCACTTAATTTATACATATTGTGTTTAATCACTGCTTAAATGCAGAGTGAAGTGAACAGAACCAAGAGATCACTGTACAAACTAACAGCAATATCGATCACCTCGGACTTGGCTACTCTGAACAATACAATGATCTAAGACAATTCCAAAGGACCCATGATGAATAATGCTATACACCTCTAGAGAGAGAACGGACACACTGTGAGTGCAGACTGAAGTATACGTTTTTCACTTTATTTTTCTTGCTTTTTTTTTTTTTTGGCAACATGGCTTATATGGAAATATGTTTTGCATGACTTCACATGTATAACTCATATCATATTGCTTGCCTTCTCAATGAGTGGGGAAGGGCTAGAGGGAGGGAAAGAATTTGGAATTCAAAATTTTTTAAAATGTTAAAAATAATTTTAAAAAACTCACTACTTAATATGTATTTAGTTTGTTTCCCCAGGTCACTGTAAGGTCTTTGTGGGTAGGGCTCTTATTTTAGATGTTTTTATTTACAATATAACTGTACAGAACACATAATAAGTACGTAACGAGACATTTTTAATTGACCAATTACTTTAGAAGAATAAAGCCAAGTTGGTAAGAATAATTGCTGGAAGGGCACGGCTGAAAGGTGATATGACCCGGGTTGGAAATCAAAACAAAGTACTTGTGTCTCAAGGAAATCCTGACGTGCGAGGTGTCTTATCCCAAAAGAGAAGAGGAGAGGTATAAATAGCACAGAATAGTGGGGTGCCTGCCAAATTGGTGACAAATGTGAAGGCGTCTCTAGATCCCCTGGTAAAAATAGTCCTAATGATGATGATGATGATGATGATGAGAAGTGCTATTTTTTAAAGCCCCCAGCGCTCGCTTACCTTGCCATCCACAATACACTGCGTGGCTGGTTTGTCAGAGAACAAAGCCAGGCCGGCCTCCTGCAACAGCTCCTGGTCCTCCTCTGGGATGCCCGTGTCGGCCTGGATCCTCACCTTCAAGCTCTGCAAACTTTCCTTCTCCAGGATGGGATAGGTATGCATGGTGCCAGTTACCATATTCAAGATGTGAACTAGCTACAACAAGAAGTTAACAGGTCATGGAAAAGAGCCACAGGACAGTGTCATCCTCTGTTTTCTAACACTGCTGATTTATCAGCTCAAACCCTTCCCCAGTACTCAAATTTTCACCTGCCTTTCACACGTTGCTAAAACCATGATGTGACTTAAGAATGTAGAATTTTGGAGTTTGGAATGATCTCAGAAGTCATCTAACTTAACTCCTTACGTGAGACCTTCCCTACAACATGCCCATTTGATGACATCCTCCAGTAAGAGGAGACAGTCTGGTATAGAAGAACAAGTCCTAAATTTGAAGTCAAAGGACCTGGGTTCAAATCTGGTGTCAGACATTTACTAGCTGCGTGTCTCTGGGCAAGTCACTTTGATTCAATTTGCTTTAGTTCCCTCATCTATAAAAAGGGAATAATAACATCTACCTCACAGGGTTGGTGTGAGAATCAAATGAAATATTTGTAAAAAGCACTTAGCACAGTGCCTGGCACATAGTAGGTGCTACACAAATGCTCATTTCCCCTACCATCCCTTTCCCCCTTAATCCCCCCAGTGTAAGGAAATTAGACTAGATGATCTAAGTCTGTGTTCCTATGATTTCCCAAGACAGTCCATTTGCTCTAATTTGCCTCTGTTCCTCATCTGTAAAATGAGGACACACCAAAGAAGGAAGTGGCAAACCACCTGAATAACTTTGCCCAGAAAACCCCAAGGACAAACGTCCATGGGTTCACTCAGAGTGGGCCACGACTGAACAATAATAATAGCAATTGTTACAGAGTTGTTTCCCCTGATCTGAAACCTGCCTCTCTATGCCATTCAAATATTAATTCAGTGGATAAGAACACTAGGCCTAGAGTCAGGAAGACCTGAGTTCAAATCCAGCCTCAGAGATACTTTCACTCTATTTGCCTCAGTTTCCCCATCTACAAAATGGAGATAATAATAGCACCTACCTTCCAGGACACATTGTAAGCCCTATTTAAATGTTCACTATTATTATAAATTATTCGTTAAATATTATTATTAAATAAATTAATAATAAATTATTACAAATAAATTATAAACAAATAATTATAATATAATTATTTGCCTCTTTTTAGACATGACAATCCTTCAGATATTTGAAGATAAGGATCTAGTTTTCCCCAGATTGAAGGCTTCTCCTATCCCTAGGTTATTCGACCATTCCTGCTATGGCATAGTGTGCAGTCTCCTCACCATATTGATCACCCTCCTCTTGTGATCAGGTAGACAGAAGTAAAGTCTGGGTGCCATGTTATTTCATGTTGTTATGTGTATTCCATCTTGTCCTGAGCTTTGGCCCTAGGGTTGCCCAACCACTCCTCCTCCTCCTCCTCAGCTCTCATCAGCCTTACCAACTCAAATCAGACACATGGAGGAAACATGTTTCCTCATTGGTTACCTAGTCCTGTGCGATTTCTGATTTTTTCCCCATACTTGCTTTCCATAGATTGGTCCCAGTAATGTCATATAGCTTCATCTCCTGATTGCAGAGGAAGCAGACATTTTTCACTGCGAGGTAACTGAGCTTTTACACTCACCTTTAGGTTCAAGATGTCATCCAGCGCTTTGAAGCAGCCATTCGGGCCGTAAGAGGGGTCCGTGCCCCTCTGTCGGGGCTGCCACATTAACATTAATTGCAGCCACTTTTCTAGTCGCTGTACTAGAATACTGAGAGATAGAAAAAGACAAGAAGTAGACAGGAGGAGAAGACACATCTTGGACACCAATCTCATCTTGCCTTCATGGAAAAGGGTAAGAAGTTCAGGCCTCACAGGCCCCTCCAACTTATTGGTGCAATGCAGCATCATGTTCATAGTTGGCATTTCAATAAATACTTGTTGGACAGATTAATAGATAAATCTAGGAAAGGATGTTATCACTCCTTACCAACTGAATAGTCTAAGCCTTTATCCCTAAATATCTGTTACAATAACCCCGTAACAGGTCTCCCAGCTTCCAATCTTTCCCTACCTCTATTCCATCTTACACACTACCCTGAGGCTAATCACCCCAAAACACCACTTTTATTAAGTGACTCCCTGGCTCAAAAATCTTCAGTGGTTCCCACTGCCTATAGGAGCAAATTCAAACTACTTATCTTCGCATTCCAATGCCCACCAATATTTACCTTTATTCTGTACCACCATTCTAACATTATCTCTCACTTCACAGCCCATTCCTCTCTTGGACCTGAAGTTTTCCTTACATCCAGCCCAAATCTGCCTCATTGAAGCTACCATCCATTGCTCTAATTCTCACCGATGGAGTCAAGTCTAATTCATTTTCCCCAAGTCATCCCTTCAAATACTTGTGGACTCTATTATCTCCCCCATGAAGTATTCTCTTCTGTAGAGCCTGAATATTCTCAGTTCCTTCAACTTCAATTCTTACGATATCAATTTTAGACCTTTGACCATCCAGGTTACGGTTCTCCAGCTCAGGGGTTCTTAACCTTTTTTGTGACATGGACCACTTTGGCAATAGAGTGAAAGCTATGGACCCCTTCTCAGAACAATATTTTTAAATAATTGAAGGAAATGCTAAATTTCAGTTAGAGGTTAGTGAAGACAAAGATATGTTTATTATTCCCATCCAAGTTCGTTGGCTCCCCAGAATCTATCTATGGATACTCAAGGAGGAGAGCCCCAGGTTAAAAATCCCTGATGTGGATGTTCTCCACCATATCAGTGTCCTTTCTAAAATGTGTGTCCTGAACCGAACGCAATACTGTACTTGATTTCTTGACATGACTCAAACCCTTTCTCATTCTGCTTATCCTTTTTATTGTATATATTGTCCCACTTTTCTTCCTATCTAGATTGTCTCTACATATCCAAATCCCATCCATCTCTGAAGGGTCACCTTGAGTTTCTTCTCAACTCCCATAATGCTATCCTACAGTATACCTCATAGGTGGGTTTGTTTGGGTATTTGCCGAGAAGCATCTGTTTTGTCAAAATGAAATGTATCTGCATGATCAATATCATATTGCTTACCTTTTCAAAGGGTGGGGGAGGGTTGGGAGGAAGGCAGAGAATTTGGAACTCAAATTTAAAAAAAATGAATGTTAAAAATTTTTATATGTAATTGGGAAATATTTAGTGAAATAACACTTTTTAAAACATTTTTAACATGTTTTTAAAATAACACTTTTTAAAAAAATGAAATGTATCAATAAATTTCTTTTAGAAAATGCTTTCTAAAACAGGCACATGAAATATGCTGTTAGTGGAATTATGAATTGGTCTAGCCATTCCAGAAAGCAATCTGGAACTGTGCTAATAAGTAACTAAAATGTCTATACCCTTTGACGTAGAGCTCCCAATGCTAGTTACGTATATCAAAGATAGAGTGAAAGATTACATATATACTAAACTACTTAGAGCAGAGACTTGGAAACAAAGGAGATGCCCATCAGTTGGGAAATGGTTGCAAAAAAAACTATGGTACATGAAGGGATTGAGAGAATTATGGGAATTGTGTGAACCAAACTGACTTCATCTTGTGACTCAATTCTGGATCTAGCTTGGTCCCCCTTCTATTCAATTATGGGTCTAGTCCAATTTCTGTTTTGTGAGAAAACTTTATTCAATCATAGGAATTGTGAAAAAATTATTCAATTGTTTGAACCTAGCCTTGTATGACCGGGAAACTGGATCACCTCTACCTGCTTCTTAGAGACTTTTAACTAAGGACCCAAAGTTATGCCAACCAGAAACCCAGTCAGATCCAAAGATCAATGCAAGGAGTTTTCCCACAATTATGAATCTCAAGCAACGCATGTGTCTTATCTGAGAACTGGCCCTGTGCTGGTCAGTTACTGTTTCCCTGTTTTTTTGCTTGAGTGTAGACATGTGGAGGTGAGTGGGACATCTCTTTTTCTGATTTCAGGGAATTGTACCTGTTCGCTCTCCCCCTCCCAACTCAGAAAGTTCCTAATGTTTCCACCAATTAGAAATCAGATTACCTAATTTTTCATCCTAGTTTATACCCTGTTAATTGTTTTCTTTTAATGCATAAAAATCTGTTTCCCCTTGTATTCGGGGTCCAATGCCAAGCTGAGGAGCCCCGGTCCCGATTTGTTATGCAGTTGGTATGTATTGCTTAATAAATTGGTATACTCAAAAGCTTGAACCTTTATTTCCTCAGTTATCTCAGGTTTCACCCATCACAGTAATGGAAAATTTACTGCACTATAAGAAACAATCACTATAAAGAATACAGAGAAACAAAGAATGGCTTTAGGAACCAATGCCAAGAGAAATAAGTTGAGGCGATAAAACAACATACACAAATATGACAAAAATGGGAAATGGAAGGAACAAAAACTGAACATTGTGCAATTATAATGACTAAGCCTGGTCTCAAAAAAGAAATGTAACATATATTTCCTTCTCTTCTTTGCAAAGGTGGGCGATTACAGGTGTGGAATAATGTATATATTTTCTGGTTTGATTGGTGAGACAAGATGGTGGCATTGGGGACAGAGGGATGGATTTGGAGTCAGCAGCACATGATCTCTTCAAAGCCTGCTTTGGATGCTTACTAGCTCTGGGACTATGGTATGGGCAAATAACCTTTCTGAGCCTCAGTTTTCCTCATCTGTAAAATGAGAAGTTTGGAGTAGATGGTCCCTATGGAGGTTTTCAGCTCAAAATCTATGATGCTATTTATTGGTTAATTTTGTTAAACTGTTCATTCTCTCTCTGTCTCTCTCTCTGTCTCTCTCTCTCTCTCTCTCTTCCTCCCTCCCTCTCTCTTCCTCTCTCATTTAAAAAAAATTCTTTGTCAAAATGGAATGGCTCTCTGAACGGAAGGGGATATATTAGGGAACTCAGGTGATATATAAACAAAAGATGTAAAAAAAATTTTTAAAAATGCTTTCCCAGATATCTCTAACCCATAGTGAGTTCTCCACTGCTGATCTCATCACACTTACATCCTAAGTTATTGATTTATCAATCACATTGACATCTCCTATGTTAACTCTTCTGTTGTTATTAATCATTTCCTGTGCTTTCTCTCAATTAGATTTCTTAAAAATACATTTTACTGATGTCCTTTATCTAACATCACAGTCACTTCCAACCCTTTCCAGACTGAAATTTCCCTGACAACAAAGAGAAACAATTAAACAAAAACATAATATGGTGACCATATCTGCCAATGTACACCTAGTCTGTCTCAGCAGTTCTCCACCTCTCCACTGTGAGGTGGTGGGAGATATGTTCTATTATATGATCTTCAGAATTTTCAATGGCTTTTCAGTTACCCAGAGTTCAATTTTCTTTTAGTGATCTTGTTCATTTACATATATGTATATTAGTCATTTTGGTGGTTCTTGCTTATTTCATTGTGAATTATTTCATATAAATCTTCCCTTGTTTCTCTGAATTCCTGATACAGTTATCATTTCTTACCGTACAGTATTACACCATTATTGTCATAATACTGTCATTTTTCAGTCATTCCCCAATCAATAGATAACCACTTTGTTTCCCGTTCTTTAATATCACAAAGAGTCATGCTATGAATACTTTGGTATATACTGGACCTTTGTTTCTGTCTTTGACTTCCTTGGAGTATGTGTCTAGTAGTGGGATCACTGAGTCTAAGGGTATGGACTTTTCTCATACAATTCCAAATTGTTTTCCAAGATGACTGGACCACTTACTAGTTACATGAACAGGACATCCATGTGCCAGTCTTCCCACGGCCCCTCCAACTCTGACTAGTCCATCTTTTATAGACTTTACCATCTGCATAGTATGAGGTGACACCTTAGAGTTATTTTTATTTACATTTTTTTTCGCTATTAGTGAATTAGAGGAACGTGAGTGGAAAAAGTTTAAGAAGCCCTGATTTAGAGCATATTTTCGTGTGGTCACTTACAGTTTGAAATTTTTATTTTGAAAATTGTTCATATTTTTTGACCGATTATTCCCAATTAGATTTTAAACTCCATAATGGCAGGAACCATATATCTAATAATTCTTCTGCTCCCTTACTCACCCAGGACAGGGCAAAGAACATAGTAAGTGTTTAGTCAGTATTTTTCAGAATGAATGGGAGTTTTCTGTGACACACACACTCAGCTTGAGATTGACTGCTCAAGTACCCAGTGGAAAGAGAATAAAACATTCAATCAATCAATGACTCAGCAAGCATATATTAAGCATCTAGGAACCAGACACTATAGTAGGCACTAGATATAAATACAAAAAGTGAAATAATCCTTGCCCCTAAGGAACTTATATTCTGGACCATTACAAGATGGTCATCTAGATGCTCATTTTGGATGCTCAGTATCTGAGAGATGTGCTATAGTGTTGGTCTACCATAGGGTTGATCTAAACATGATCTATGGTATTATATCTCACCTGTTAAGGTTATTAGGGTAGGGTAAACTGCTTGAGAACTTCACTCCTCCAGCCAAGTCTTCACTAACAACGATGTCTAGTTCACTCTTCTGTCGGACTTTTGAATGCCTAAAAAGAAGATTTCCCAGAGTGACTGACTATCCAATGATTCTCTGTACAATCGGTCAATCAACCAACATTTATTAAGCACCTACTACGTGCCAGTTTCTATGCTAAGCACATTAGCCTTTCCTGTTGATAACTTTAACTGCTTCTCAGGGGATAACCAATCACTTTTTAAATATTTTGCTTTAAAGCTATATAGGAAATACATTTTCATTATAGCACTCACCATGTGCTGGGGGTAACCCTGGATTCTTTAAAGTTATGCCATTGGAACACAAGCCCTAGTGTGCCTTCTTAAGACTAGAGAGGGCTTTGAAGAGTGGTCCAGAAACAGAATGTGTGTCTGTCCCCTGAAGTCCCCTGATGCTACCTCCAGTAGTTACCCATAACATGGACAAATCACTTCCCTGAGACTCCATTTCTTTATCTGTAAAATGGCAATAGATATCTGTATCTCCTGCCTCATACAATTTTCATGAGGCTCAAATAAGATAATATATGTAAAATCCTTTCCAAACCTTCAAAGCACTATGTAAAATATCAGCTATTATTATTAACACTACAATTAACAACAATTCACATTTATATGGTATTTTAAGGTTTAAAAGGTACTTATATCATAACAACCCCATGAAGCAGGTAGTAAAAGTATTGTTTTAAAAGTAAAAATTTTTCAAATGAAGAATCAGACCTAGGTTAAGTGGACTGACCAGAGTCACACAGCTAGAGACTAGAGACAAGATGGGTCAGGACTTGACCCCAGGGCTTTTGACCCCAAGGCTCCTTCCACAATAGTATCTAACCTCTGTATTCAAAATAAAATTGATTGTGAGAAATTATCAAAATAAAAAGGTATATGGCAGGCTTACTACTGGGACTACTGAAAAAAGTAATTTCAGAGAGCTTTATAAAATTGGTATAGCCTAGGCTTAAGGTCAACTATGTACCTGCAAATTGAGTAGAGATGGTAGATAAAGGAAAAAGCAGCCCCCAGGTCCATGGGTCGCCCACAAACACCCACTCACCATTGTACTGGCTGCCAGTTGGGAAGGAATGGCCTAAACCCCGTGATGCACTCAAAGGCCAGGGTCCCAAAGCTCCAGTAGTCCACTGTGACCGTGTACTTCTGTTGTTCTAACAGCTCCGGAGCCTGTGAAGACACATTGTTGAGCTGAACCTGAGTTCTTCCGTCCGCCAAGCCCCATGGGGAAAGGCAAGACATTCAAACTACCCCCACTTTCATTCTCCTCCAATGTGCCTCGGTGGGTATTAGGTGGAGCCACACCATGCCTGATCTGCACAGAAGAGGGTAAAGGAAGAAACTTCCTTATTTAGTTCCTAGGCTCCAATTCCAGAGGCTCCATCTTGTTCTCCTGGTTCAACTCATTAAACCAGAGGGAAGGACCAGGGAGAAGGACTCCTGGATTTTGTTTTGATCCTTACTCTGCCTTGGGGGGATGGGGAGGAATGGGACAGCAGAGAAGGGGAGGTATTGGATACAGTTTTCCCATGCTTCAGTGTCCCCCCTCTTTAAATGAAGCCAGCATCACTGTCATCACCATCATCAACAAAGGTTGACTGAGTGCTTGCCATACCTGGGAAATGGGTTAGATAAGGAAGATACCAAGAATGTTATTGTGTGGGGAACAACCCTATATAGGGAAAAACTTTTTTAAATGGGGTGGGGGATATTCTAAAAATATGACTTCTGAGAAATGCACATATTTTTAAATGCCAGAAAAGTTTGATCTCCATGACATACAGTGCCTTTGGGGTTTAAGCAACAATGTGGAGGGGCTGAGGGGATTGGGGGGAGGCAGTACCTTTAAATGTTTCTCAGAGAGGGGCAGCGAGGTGGCACAGTGGATACAGCACTGGAGCTGAAGTCAGGAGGACCTGAGTTCAAATCTAGCCTCAGACTAAACACTTGACACTAGCTGTGTGACTTTGGGCAAGTCACTTAACCCCAATTGCCTAAAAAAAAAAACTATGTTTCCCAGAGGACACAAATGGCTTGTTTTGCCTCTGGTGTTAAGAAGTACAAGACAGGATTCCTGACCTCAGGAAGCTTCTACTCTAAGGGGGCAGGATAAATGTTGTGAGGAAAGTGCTTTTTTAGGGGCAGCTAGGTGGCACAGTGGATAGAGCACCGGCCCTGAAGTCAGGAGGACCTGAGTTCAAATACAGCCTCAGACACATAACATTTACTAGCTGTGTGACCCTGGGCAAAGTCACTTAACCCCAATTGCCTAAAAATAAAAATAAATAAATAAATAAGAAAGTCAAACAGCATTAAAAAGAAAAGTGCTTTTTAAAGTGCTATATAAATTCATCTCCAGATAGAGAGCTGATGAAGTTAGGCCACAGACTGAAGCATATTTTCTTCTTTTTCTTTTAAAAATATTATTTTTGGACATGGATAATGTAGGAACTATACATATTTGTAATGGGTTTTAGTTTTTTGTCTTCTCAATAAGTGAGGGATAAGGAGAGGGAGAAAATTTGGAACTGAAAATAAAAGAAAACTGAATTTTAAAAGGTGCTATATAAATGAGATGATAGAAGGTATAGCACAGTGGGTAGAGAAGGGGTCTCAAAACCAGGAACACCTGGATTCAGGCCCTACCTCTGACATATATTTGGGGTGTGACCCTAGGCAAGTCAGTTAACTTCTCAATTTGTCCAATAGCATTGGTAGGAGTTTTCTCATTAGGAATTCCCTGGCCCATACCAGTGAAATCACAGGCCCGGTCCCTAGCCTATGTAAATGAGGAGCACGATAATGATTTTATATTTGAAAATATATAAGACAGGCCACATGGCTTAGTGGAAAGAATGCTGCTGAACTTGGGAGTCATTCTTGCTAGTTACATGACCAGTCAAAAGTAAGTTGCTTAAATTTTCCACATCTTACTTCTCTCCTTTGGCATCAGAAGACCTAGATCTGAAAGGTGGGAAGAAGAGGAAGGCCCAAGGACTTCTTGTTAGGTAGGGTATAGAAGTGATTCTTACTTAAGTACAGGTGGGTCTCTAAAGTTGCTTCCAACTCTGAAATGTCAAGATTCTCTGATTCTGTGATTCAACAGGAAGGGGAATCCACCCATAAGGAAGGGAGTGTTGGAAAGATAAGCAGTCTTATCACTATATTGATTAGAACTAGTGATGACATATCACATCAAGTTGGACATGGCCGGAAGAAAGAGTATTTGGTATGTCTGGCTTGAGGGCAATGGTACAGAGACAGACAGCAATAATTAAAAGGCATCCAGATGCTGGTTGAATTTTTGACATGGCCTGAGCATCCTTCCACGTAGGATAAAGAGTAGGGGCCTAAGAACAAATTGCTGGGGAAATGCCTATAGACTAGGAAATGGTTAAATAAATTGTACCTGAATGTGATGGCATATCTTTGGATGAATAGGAATAATTTGGAGAAACACAAGAAGACTTATGTACTGATGCAGAGTAAAATAAACATAAATAGGAAAGCAACATACATAATGACTACAGCAAAGACCCAAAATCTGAATCTGAAAGCTATGTAATAACAATGACCAAGAATCCCGGTCCTTAAGAACAAATGAACACAGGTGGGGAACTCTAGCCATGGTATGTTGTGTGCACTGTCAGACTCTGCTGATGTATTCGTTGGTTTTGTTAAAACTGTATTTTTTTTCTTTTTAAAAAATTCTTTGTCACAAGAGATGGCTCACTGGGGAGAAAGGGAAAAGGGAGATATTTAAAAATGGAGGTGATGCAGAAAGAAAAGATATAAAAAAATTAAAAAGAAAATAAAATCTCTTAGAGGTGTTCCCATAGCCAGCAGAAGATAAACTGATGGTGGGTGGATCCCCCGCAAAAGAGGTGCTACAGAATCTACAAAATTATGGTGTTCACGGAGTTATCAGATCCCCAAATCTAATCATGAGATTGAAAAATGGGTGAGGTACAATTAGGACAAATAAAAGGAAACTACTTCATAGAGCAGGCAATAAACAAATGATTATAGTAACAGTAAATGGATCTGAAAAAGCCAAACTTTTTTTTTAAAGATGGAAAAGATGTTTAGTCATCTGACTCAATCCAACTTCCTCAGGCTATAGATGAGGAAATTCAGGCCCAGAGAGGGCCATGGCTTTCCCAGCCATACTGGGAATTGAAGGCAGAGACAAAGTCATAAATGGCTTCTAAGAGAAGCTGGGGTATGACTCACAGAAGGACCACCATGACCCATCACTTGGGACTGCTACAAATAGAATATTAGGATGGCTGGTTCATGGGGTTGATCCAGCAAGATACCTTTCCCATCCTTCCCACCTTCCCGTGAAACATCCACGGGGATGGCTGCGGTGGGAACAAAACTGAGCATTTCTGGAATCCTGGAAAACAAGGTGCCTGTGGGTGTATCACAAGGAAAAGGAACGGGTATATGTGCCAATCCCACCTCTTACCAGATACTGCAGCGTCCCCACAAAAGAAGTGCAAAGACTGCCTTGATCCAGCTCTTTAGCATACCCTAGGTCAATGATCTTGTGTATTAACTGAAAAAAAAATGAACAAACACTCAAGGTTTATGAAAACAACATGCTGTGACTCTATTCTAGAATAAACATCTTTGTGCTGGAAAGAAGAGACAGTTACGGTATGGCATCTTAATGGTAGACGGTGTGAACACCCTTTGTCTGATATAGGGAGCTCTGATGTCAGAACAATTAGCAACAATGAGTGTACAGAACAGTACACTGGGACACAGGTGACTGACTCCTTTTGGCAGCCTGACCATATATCCTGGTTTCCCAAACTGAGTTTAACCTAGGAGACTTTAGGAGGCCTGAGAGTTCTGTCATTGCAATCCTAAGATACCAGCTGTGGAGTCCCAGTATGACCAAGGCTACTGTTCATCTTCCCACCTGAAAAGAACAAAGCTGCCTGTCCACTGCTACTCACACACAGATGTTTCTCAGGCAGGAACTTCCGGGAGAGGCTGAAGACCAGGGAAGATGGCATCAGCATCATGTAGCCAGATCGGGCTTTGTAGGACATAGACTCACCTTGTTCAATGTGAACCAAGAGCAATCTTGGCTATGAACTAACTCTCCCGGCCCAAGGGTAGATTTCCTTAGGCCTTCCCCCAACCCCCACCCCATTCCCTTTATCTCCACCCCACTCTTTTGATCTCAAGTTTGGCCTTTAGATCAGCGGTGTCAAACTCAAGGTTGCAGTTGCCAGGTGGAACCAGATTAAATTATAATTGGGAAAGGTTTAACAAAATAAATAAAACACATAGCCAACTTTAATTTGTGGGTTTTCTAAGTCAACATGAAACCCTCAGGGCAGCCCATTTTTATTTGAATCTGACACCAGCTATTTTAGATGAATGAATGGATGAATTTATTAAGTGCTGAGCACTGGGCTCAGCCCTGAGAATACAAATACAAAAGCAAAGACAGTCCCTGCCCTAAAGGAGTTTGTATTCTAATAGGGGGACAGTGAGGACCAGGGAGGCTACTCGGGTTTGGAAAGTTAAAGGGAAGATGAGGGGAGGTGGTGGGGCTAGAAGGAGGAAAGGGGTATAGATTGACATACCTTTTACAAAAGCGTTGACAGAGCTAATTTGATTATGGGTCACAGACTTCCCTACAGTCGTGGGGCTGGCAGAATAACGGCTGAGGAGTGAGGTGGACCCAGATGTAATGTGTGATTGAGGCAACCACTGATAGGAGAGGGAGGCCCCCGGGCCAGAGTTGGGCTTTATTGATGAAACCTCTCATTTTGGTGCCTGGACACACCAGGCTTGATTTAGGCTCCCATGATAATGACAACAACAATAACAACAATAATAATAGGCAGCTAGGTGGCGCCATGGTGCATAGAGCTCTGGGCTTGGAATCAGGAAGACTCATCTTCCTAAGTTCAAATCTGGCCTCAGACACTTACCCTGGACAAGTCACTTAACCCTTTTTACCTCAGTTTCCTCAGCTGTAAAATGAGCTGGAGAAGGAAATGGCAAACCATTCCAGCATCTCTGCCAAGAAAACCCCAAATGGGGTCACAGAGAGTTAGACATGACTGAAAAACAACTGAACAACAACAAACTATGTGCCAGGCCTGTGATGATGATGATGATGATGATGATTTCATTTCATCCTCAAAACACTCCTGGGAAGTTGGTGCTATCATTTCCCGCATTTTATAGATGAAGAAACTGAGGCAAACAGAGGTTTAGTGATCTGCCCATGGTCACACGGTTAGTATGTATCTGAAGCCACATTAGAACTCAGGTCTTCCTGACAACAGGACCAGCACTTTATCTGCTGCTCCACCTCAATGCCCTATTTATGTTCTATTCGTTGCTCTCTACTCTGGTAACTGAACCCCTATGCTCAGTATAACCTGCATCTTGCTTCTGGTCCCTTATCTACACTGAAGTTTTGCAAAGGACTTTACAAACATTATCTCATTTGAGCTTTACAACAACCCTGGAAGGTAGGTGCTATTATTATCCCCATTTTATAGGCGAAGAAACTGAGGCAGACAGAGGTTAAGTGACTTGCCCAGGGTCACACATCCAGTAAGTGTCTGAGGCTGGATTTGAACTTAGGTCTTCCTGACTCCAGGCCCAGCACTCTGTCCACCACATCACCTAGCTACCAAAAAACCTAGTCCACTGGTGGGTGGGGAACCTGCAGCCTTTGACTGAATCCAAACTTCACAGAATAAATCCTTTCATTAAGTGAAGTTTGGATTCAGTTAAAGGGCCACACTTGAGGACCTAGAGGGCACATGTGGTCTCGAGGCCTCGGGTTCCCCACCCCTGACCTAGTCCCCACCAGCAGTGGCCTCTACTCACCAACCCTTTAAGTTCCAAGCAAAATACCCCTCCCCTGGCCACCATGACTAGAGAGGACCACCATGAGGCTGCTACAAACAACAGAATAAATACCAGGAAGGCTGGATCGTGAGTCTGACCCAGCACCATATGTTTCCTATGTTCCCATGAAACACCCAGATAGCTGGATGGGTGGGGAGACACTTCCTCCAAATATCCCCTGCCACCCATATCTTTCTTCTGCCCAAACATACACAAGTTCTCATGCCTAAAAGTCTCAGTATTGGCATCAAGACCTAGAACTGGCTTTCAACTGGTGTCCCGTATAGCAACCAAAGTGGGGGCTCTCAACACCAATGGGAATAGAGGTCTCATTCCAAGAATTGTAGGGCCCTCAAGGATCAGGGGTAAATAATATTTTCCTTATCAGACCTGTGCCACCTGGGCTCTTCATAATGCTAGCCATTCAAATGCGCTCTGATCTGCAAGAAGTTTCATACTGAGCTGCGTCTTTCAAGCTATTAAAAGTGGTCCCAGAGAAAATCAAAGCTTCACACAAGGAAATGAAAATACAAACAGAGAGACAGAAAAACATTTCCTCTTCCCACCAAGAATGGGTTCCCTGGGATGAATGCCACACACAAAACCATCAGTCACCAGACTCTGGTTTCCACTCACCCTTTTCTCTCCTTGTTGCAGGACAATATTCTCAGGCTTCAGGTCCCGATGGATGATTCGGTTTTCATGAAGGTATCTAAGTGCTGAGGCTGTGGTTTGGAAAGGGAGCAGTTGTTAAGTCTAAAGAACAGCTCACATTTTAGGATTTTCCCCATTACTCTATAGCTCAATCCTGAACTCTTTCCCATTGCTCATTAAGAAGGAAAAGATGAGGGTCTCTAGAGGAGTGCTGAAGTTCTCACTTTTGTTTGGTGTAATGTTTTTAATTAAAATTTTTTAATTAATGACAAGAACTCCTGACGTTTATATAGTGATTTTTGGTTGTACTTTTGATGTCATTAGCATTGGGAACTCCTGGGGAAAAAGCTCCTTCAAAGATGCAGACTAAAGACTGTTCTGCAATTTATAATTTGGAGAGCTGCCTGGGTGCCCTGCACTGAGAGGTTAAAAGAATTCCCAAAGATCACATAGCCAGGGTGTGTGAGAGGCAGGACCTGAATCCAGATCCTTTCTTATTCTGAGGCTTGGCATCTCTCTAATAAGCTAGGCTGCCACTCTCTAGAAAATGCTTCAATTTTTACAAATTGCTTTGCTCACAATAATCTCATGAGGTAGGTAGTGTAAATTCTCATTTTACAGATGAAGCTAGTGAGGCACAACGTCATACAATTTTCTAACAATCAAAGCTGTCCCAGAATGGAATGAGCTGCCTCATGAGAAGGAGATTTCCCCATCGTGGAAGTGCTCCAGGCAAGGCTTAATGATGACAAAACAAGAGACCAAACAAGGAAGGCACTTGACCAAAGGAACAGATTAAGTTGAGGAGGATACTGTAAGGTAAAATTAAGTTGGGGACACAGCAGAGTATTTTATTGAAAATGATGACAAAAACCTTTACACCAGGACAGTTTAGTAGAAAGGTACTAGACTTGAGAGTCAGGAGAAAAGACCTGGGTTAAATTGTATACTTTGATGTATACTAAGTGTGTGACTTTGTACAGGTTACTTGACCCCTGTAAGTCTCACTTTTTTTTTTTCTTATATGGAATGATGACAATAATACTTGTATTTCCTATCTCAAAGGATTGTTGTGAGGAGGGTGCTTTGTAAGCCTGAAAGCACTGTGTTATTATTATTCCAGAAGTTTAATCAGTCAGTCCTTAAGCATTTATTAAGCTCCTACTATGTGCCACACACTGCATTGTAGCAAGTGAAAATTTTCAAGAGACAGAGTTTCTGGGTAAATTATAATCGATTTTTATTAATTATGGCTAGTAAGTAATCAAGCTCAGTTGTTTCTCTTGGTAATCAAAGAGACCTAACATGGAGTGCCTTGAATACTTACAAAACCTTTGGAAAAAGGGGTGCACCTGAGGTGGAAATCAACTCTGATTGGTTAACAAGTAATGAGAGAATGGAGAGTATAATGAGATGTGGGTTTATTCTAAGCAGGGGCTGGAGAAATGACTCTGATCACTTAGTCTTGGACAGAGAGACTTATCTATACTCAGACCACCCCAGTCTAGGGCGATCTAGATAAAAGAGGGAATCCATTTCCACCCAGACCTATCGGACTAAAACACAATAGGTACAAATCCACCAATTCACCTAGACTAGAATGTCTTTTGATTTTTTGATCATACTTATTTTCCCAGTTGTGTAAGTTTTGCCCAAGATTTCATTTCATTATCAGCCCTGCAGTTCAAAGACTAGCTGAATAACGTACAGGGACTGATTTCTGAATGAGGAAAGAGAAATGGGAAACGCTAATTCAATAATTGGTTGTTAATATGAGATTTCTCTCTCAGTATTAAAAGCTGGGGAAACAAAGGAAGGCAAAGTTCAGGAGGTCCCTGCTCTTGGGAACTCAGTCCAATGAAGGAGACATTAGGCAAACTACTATATACAAACAAGTAGCATAAAATGGATATTGGATAAAACGGAGATAATCAAAAGAGGCAAAGAGCGAGGATTAAAAGGGATTGGGAAAAGCATCTTGTGGTAGTGGGATTTTAGCTGAGACTTGAAGGAAACCAGGAGGTAGAGATGAGGAGGAAGAGCAACCAGGAGAGAGGTACAGTCGATGAAAATGCCCAGAGTTGGGAGATGGAGTGTCTGGTTGGAGGAATAGCCAGGAGACCAGTGTCACTGGATAGCAGAGTGTGTGGGGGAGGGGAAGGCGCAAGAAGATTGGAAAGGAAGGAGGGGGATGGTTTATAAAGGGCTTTGAATGCCACTTCGTAGTTTAGAAAATCAAAGGACCAGGCTAAAAATGTAACTGGGAAATGCTTAACAAAATAAATAAAAATATAAAACGACATAGATAATGTTAATTTGGGGTTTTCTAAGTCAATATGAGGCCCATATAGAGCACTTACTTCAATAGTCTCATTTTATAGATGAAGAAACTGAGGCACAAAGGGATAAAGAAGGGAATAAGCATTTATTTTGCACCTACTATATGCCAGGCACTGTGACATTTTTTTTTTCAAATATTATCTCACATCAAAGACTCTAGGGCAGAGGTTGGCTTAGAACCCAGGTCTTTTGACTTCTTGTCCAGTGTTATTTCCACTATACTATTTGTTTTAGTAGAGTTCATGAAAATACCTTCAATGATAATAACACCTTGTATTTGCATAAGAGTTCATAGTTTTCAAGAGCTACATAATCTCATCTGATTCACAGTTTTTTTTTTTTAATTTTTAGGTAATTGGGGTTAAGTGACTTGTCTAGGGTCACACAGCTAGTAAGTGTCAAGTGCTTGGTCTGAGGCCACATTTGAACTTGGTCCTCCTGATTTTAGGGCCGGTGCTCTATCCACTGTGCTACCTAGCTGCCCCCAGATAGTTGTTGAACAGATGAAGACACCAGCGCCCAAAGAGGTTACTACCAAGTAACTTGTCTGAGATCACATAGAAGAACTAGGGACTAAAAGCTATGTTTTCTGGTATCTGATATTAAAAAACAACTGATATTCATAGCACTTTAAAGTTTGCAAAGGGCTTTTGTTTGACCTTTAAAAGAACCCTGTGAGGTAGGAAGTGCAAGTATTATTTTACAAATGAAGAAACTGAGGCTCAAGAAGATTACATGATTTGCCTATGGCCACCCAGTTAGTAAAGGAGAGATTTGAACTCAGGTCTTCCAGACTCGTAGTATATTCTCTACTATAGCACTTCTTGTTTCTTAATAGGAAATAACCTATGCCTCTCCCCATCTCAAACTTCTCCTTTCCCCAACCTCCCCCCAAATGACTCTTAAAGCAAAGACCAGTTCAATAGAGAACACTTGGACCCTGTCATTACGAAAACAAAACCCTCCTATTTCCTGGGCAGTGGGAAGCCTCCTATTAGTTCAGAGAAGAGTGAATAGTTACTCCATCAAACTACTCATCGCTGACTCATCCAAGCCAGAAGAGTAAGATGAGCTAATACTGACAAAAGATAAGACTTCACATATTGCAGAGGCCAGTCCCAGGCCTGCCAGAAGATGATGGTGTTGGCAGGGCATGCACTGGCCTTCAGGAAGCTGAGCCCTTTTTTAGAGTAAGGAAGGGCCCCCATCATACACCCTTGAGATCTCAGAACATGAATCTCTTCAAGCAGAAGAAAACATACTTGGGTATTCTTAGAAAGGATAATGATCAAGAAATATTTCTACAGAATCCTTAGAAGACTTCCTCCAGCTATTTTAGGAAAGTGTTATGGAAACACCCTGGTCAGTTCCTCATTAACACATCAGAGGAGAGGTGGTCCTTCCAGACAATGGGCAGGGTCCCCAAGGCCATTCATATCCAGGCATCAGTAATAAAGGGATAAAAATGGGCTTGGATGACATTGGCTTCTTTTGAGGGGGAGGGGGAGCTACCAGTGATTTCTTGGGGATAGGGAACTCTCAATAATCAAACCCTCTTTCAAAATGCAGATCAGTAATTATTCAGCAATTTAGCTTTGCAGAATTGCCTAGTGCCCTACAGGTAAAGTCACAAAGCCTGCTTCAGTTGTGGGACTTCTGAACTCTAGTCTTCCAGATCTGAGGCTAGCTCTTATCTTTCTTTATCTAAAGAAATGTCTAAATTTTTGAAAAATCTGAATTACAGACTAATTTTATAGATAGAAATGTAATTCTGTTTACATTGCTTATTGCTAGGTAAACAACATAGTTTATACTTATGTAGTGTAAGGATTTCCTAAAAAAAATTCTTTCATCTTAAGATAGGAGAAGCCAGAGGCAATTAGATAGAGCACTGGGCCTGGAATCAGGAAGACCTGAATTCAAAATGGGCCTCAGGCACTTATAACCCTATTGCCCTGAGCAAGTCATTTCATCTCTGTCAGCCTCAGTTTCCTCATCTCTAAAATGGAGATAATAATAGCACCTACCTTACAGTGTAGTTATGAGGATCAAATGAAATATTTGTGAAGTGCTTTGTTGTTGTTCAGACACGTCTGGACTTTTCATCACCCCATTTTCAGGTTTTCTTGACAAAGAGACTGGAATGGTTTGCCATTTCCTTCTCCAGTTTATTTTACAGATAAGGAAACTGAGGCAAACAGGGTAAAGTGACCTGCCCACTGTCACACGGCTAGTAAGTGTCTGAGGCCATATTTGAACTAATAAGGATGCGTCTTCCCAATTCCAAGCCCAGTAAAGCGTTTAGCAAACCTTTCAAACCATGTGTAAATGCTAGTTACTATTACTAACCCCAGAGGAGGGGTCCTCAGAACCTATCCAGTCCAATCAGTCCCCTCATTTTACAGATGACAAAACTGATCTTGACCCTGCTGGGAATTTAGCTATAGCAGTTAACCCAGACATGGAGACGATGAGTTTGGAACCAGATAGTGAGTTTGGGGTTTTGACTGTACTCCACAGATACAAATGAATCCCGCTAGGTATAGGGGAACTAGGCTGAAGTCCCTGTGGCCGGTGAGGCTGAGGCTGGTTGTTTGAGTTGGGGAATCCTGAGCTGCATTTAGGTTGAAGGCTAATTTGGTGTCCACACTAAGTCTGCCACCAATCTGGTAAGCCCCTGAGGTAGAGAGCTGCCAGGCTGCTTATGGAGGGGCTAACTGGGAAAATGAAG